TCTATTAATGTATATTTTTTTATTTATCTGTTCTAAATTTTGTTTTAATTATCATCTTATATACATAATTTTCAGTTTTAGAGGGAGTTTTCTGTCGTGAATCATAGGGTTGAAAGAATTTGGATTGGATTTAAAGAATGAATTCTAGTCCTAGAAGGAATTGGGATTGATTATAAACTCTTCTGATCAATCCCTATAAATAGGTGTTAAAACAGAACCTAATGATACACAAACGACAGAAAAGAAAGAGAGGTGAAAGAGAAGCAAAAATAGTATTTAAAGGCAATTTAAAATTCTTAGGAGATTTTTAGGATTTTTTTGGCAAATTTTTTTTTCTAGAAAATTTTTGGAATTTCCAGATTCCAACCACATTTTTTGACGAAATTTGAAGTTTCCGACGTGATTTTCCACATTTCGACATTATTTTCCAGAATCTAACAAAAATTCAATCAGATTCTGGGTTGCGTCTTTCGGGTAGAGAGAATGAGGAGAAAATTGAGGGAAAGAGAGAGAAGGAAGAAAGGTAGTCTGCGAAAGAAACAGAAGTTGGAGCCTTTTATAGTACCGAAAAATGATGTCATTTTTCGCTTAAGAAAACCCCAGGATCCGTGCATTCCCATTCAGGCGACCCGACCCGTAGCGCCAACCCGCTTCTAACCCAGGTTCTACCCGCGCCTCAACCGACCTTTTCAGTCGAGCCGAGCCACCAAGCCGCGTCATCCAAACTGTGATTTCTGTCTTGAGCCGAGCCGCTCCAAATGTTTTTTTTTCTTATTTATTATTATTATTTCTTTTAGTATTATTATTATTATTATTATTATTATTATTATTATTATTATTTATTAGATTAGAATTATTTAGTATTCTTTATTTTATTTTTATTTTATTTATTTATTTATTTTTTCAAAATGATTTTCTTTAAATAAAATTTCAAAAAAATATATTTTTAAGAAAAAGTTGAAAGTATCAATTTTTCTTGAAAATAAGTTTTCTAAAAATTATTTTTGAGTAAAAGTTGAAAGTATCAATTTTTTTCAATTTTTTTTGAAAATAAGTTTTCTAAAAAATAGTGTTGAGGAAAAGTTGAAAGTATCAATTTTCCTTGAAAATAAGTTTTTTTAAAAATATTTTTGATGAAAAGTTGAAAGTATCAATTTTCTTTAAAAATAATTTCCTAAAAAAGGTTTTTTTTTTTAGGAAAAGTTGAAAGTATCAATTTTCCTCGAAATTAAAATTTCAAAAAAATATTTTGGAAAAAAGTTGAAAGTATTAATTTTTCTTGTACAAAAGTAATAAGTTTTTGAGGAGAGAAGGATTTATATCTAAAGCTTATCCTTTTTTTTTCATTTTATTTCTTTTCTTTTTTGAATTTTTTTAATGTTAAATAATCTGACGATAGAGCATCTGCAAGTGAAATAGTAGTTTTCTTGCATACTCTTGAGGTGAAAGAATTTTTTCAATTTTTTGCTAAAAGTATTAGAGTCAATTGAGAATAATTTTCAATAATTAATTACTTGATAAATTTTTAAGGCTTATTGGATAACACAAAATTAAGCTGGTACCAACTTTCGATGGGCGTTGTGAGGGTGCTATAACCTTCGTCACACATAACCATACTCCCGAACACTGTTCTAGTTAGTAGACCTGAACCTATTCTTTTTAGGACCTTTAGGCTTAGGTGTTACTTAAAAGGATAAATTACTTAGGTGACCAATCGCACCTAAATAAAAAAGATTGGTGGTGACTCCTTCAAGTCAATGTCTAGCGACAGATCCCCAGATCTATATGTTATGACATTATCAATTATTAACTACTAAGTTATCGCTTATTTTTTAGTTAACCTATCATTGATTTACTAATATATTGTTATGTATCTACAGCAATGAAATATGAAATTTAAATATCCACTAATTTACTATTAAGTTATCAATAATTATTTTTAAGTTATATTGATTACATTTAAGTTTTCAATAATTAATTATTAATTTATTAATTATCTATTACTATGTTATCATTAATTTATGTATATCAAAAAAGAAAATAATCGCAATGTATGCTACATGATGTAATTTATAAAGGAGAGAAATAAAGAAGAAAGATTTCAAGTGTAAATTACTTAAAAAAACATGAGTAAATACTTTTAATTTACTATAGTAGTTTAACACATAATAATAAATTTAAATCATAATTTTTTATACTAATGCAAATATTGAAACTAAACTAAATAAATATATACAATATATATTAAATCAACATTTCTAAGATATTTTTCAAATTTTTTAGTTCATGATAAAATAATACATATCAAAATAAGTTTTATTAATGATTTGATTGAATTATTAGTGTATATGTTCTTATACTTATTAACGAAGTACAATTGCATATAAAAAATTAAAAATTTTAAAATGTTTTATCACCAATGGAAATAATAAATTTACTTTATGTTTCTATTTTTAAGTATATAATTTTGGATAAAAATTTTGTTATATATATGATAAAAGTAATGATAACAAATTTATTAAATAAAATTTATAAAAATTAAATAGACCATAATTTTTAAAAATATTAAATTCATAATAATTACTTTTGTATTCTTCATAAAATTTTTCTTATACTAAATCAAAGGATGGTATATTTTTAATTATTGCTTTATTATTATTACCATAATTCAAAATGACTTTTTTGATATTTTGACCAATCAACTTTCTCCATTTGGAAAGAGTAAAAATATTTTAAAGGGTCATAACAACTTAAATAATGTTTAACTTTATGCTGTATTTAGGGATGAGCAAAAGTTGGTTTGAACTTACTAGACCGACTAAAATCGAATGAATTTAGTTGAATCGGTTCGGTTTATTCGGTTTTAGTTATAATTGATTTTTTAAATAGGTTAAATTGATTAATTTGATCGGTTTTTAATTTTTAAAATTGATAACCGAACTAACTAAATTAATTAATTTTTTAATAAGTAAATGTAAAAAAAAATTGAGATAAATATTTTAATTTTTTTCTTGTAAAATATTGTTAAAATTATTAAATTCTTTACTCATTTAGTTTGAATGATACTCGAGTTTGAGTTTTATTGAATTGAATTTATGGTTAAATAATTATTCATTATAGGAACAAAAATAATAAAAAAATTGGTTATTTAACTGAACCGATTTTGATCGATTCAATTATAGTCTATTATTTAATAATATTCGGTTGGTTTAGTTATTTGTTAAATAAAAGACGGTTAAGTTAGTTATTGATTTTTTCAAACTGAACCGACTAATTACTCACCTCTAGCTGTATTCTTAAATGAGTATGAACTATGAATATCTCTTTTAAATAAAATGTTTGAATTGTTTCCTTTAACCCATATAATAACAACTTGATCAACAAATAAACATAATAAACTTGTTGATCTAAATTAACATTTATACAATATGAATTTCAAAATCCTCAAAAGAAGATTTATCCTTAAATCTTTGTAAGACTTTGGCATAAGGATTTTCTTCTAGAATTATTATTAATCAACTTAAACTTAAAATAATTCAAAACTCAAATTTAATATAAATAAATTTGTTATTCATTTTAAATTTTAATTTAATCAAAAATAATGTAATACACATGATTATAAAAATGAACTAACTTGACTCTATTTTAATTGATTTTTAAAGTCAACAACTTAGTAGTTATTTAAAACCCTAAATGATTGAATATAACCAAAATTCAAATTGCAATAGTAACTCAATCAAAATTTAATATTTCTTATTCATCTTTAGTAACAATTTTTAAGTTTTTTATTTAAACTTTTTTTCCTTCATCTTCAATGTCTTATTTTTATTTTTTATGGTTGAATTAGTTAATTAATTTTAAAAGTATTTTAAAAATGAAATTATAATTATAAGTAATTTAATATACTTTTTTTATTTGAATTTAAGACGATTTGAATCAAACTTTTTAAATAAAGAGAAACATAAATCAATTATTGAGTCAAATTTATTTAGTTGCATAAGTAAATAATTGAGTATGTTATGAATAAAAATAAATGAAAAAACTTAACTCAATCTAATTGATCACTAATTTTAAGAATTTGAAACAATTTAGAATGGAAGAAGTAAAAAAAAGAATTTTGGATGAAATAGAAAAGCAAAAATTTGATATATTTTCAATTTTACATCCAATATTTTAAAATATAAATAATTGAATATGTTTTTATCCATTTATTTAAATGGATGTTTTTATCCATTTATTTAATTGGAGATTTAAAAAATTTATTAAGATAAAGATTTTTAAACTTTTAAACCAAAAATTTTAAATAGTAATTCATGCATATATTTATCAATTTAAACAAATTTAAATATTTTAAATGGATTTAAATAATACTAAATAAAGTAAATAATCATATATCCTTTTATCTTTTTTCAAATTAAAATTTGAATATTTATTATTATTTAAGGATTTAGTTTAAAAAATTTTTATATTTTATTATTTTGATAATATTTAATATAATTATTTATTATTATCTTATGTATCATAAAAAAATTATCCACTTAAATGTTCATGTAAATAAATTTTATCAAGTTTTTATGTAGATAATAATATAATATTATATATGATTATCCTTTTAAAATTTTATTATTATAAATATTAGTATTAAAATTTATTCAATTTATAAATAAGAATTCTACTTTTATTAAAAGACTATCATTAAATAAGTTTAATTTATAAATAAAAACTCTATTCTCATTTAAATTTACCATTAAATAAATTTATTTGATAAATAAAAATCAGCTCAAGTTTACATTCAATTACTTTTTTCACAGTTTTAATTTTAGGTACACAAAAGCAAATTTTATTTATACTTTATTAATTTTGATTATTTATACAATATACAACTACACATATACATATAATAAATAAGATAAAGTTGATAAAAACAAACGCGCTGGCGGTCCATTTTCCATTTACCCCATTAATTACCATTTTTATCATTTTTACAAGATTTCCTGGTACGTCCCAATTCTATCCAATCCAATCAGATAAGGCCACGTTTCACACTCGTTAGTTACCTGGAGTTGATCCCATGTGAGCGCTATAGATCCCAGGCTATCCTTGTAAAATGGAATCTTCTTTCTTTTATAGTCTTTAGTTATATTTCATCACTAAAAATTCTCGAATCTCCATAGGAGGTCTCTTTTTCTTTGCTTAACATATTCAACAACAAAGAAACCAAAAAAGACCAAAGCCACCAGAGTCTTCTTTCACAGCCCTTACAGTTCAAAGTTGAAACTACTTTCAAGGTAAAGTCTCCTTTTTCCTCATAAAGATGCTTTTTTTTTGCCTTAAAAGCATTGACATTTTGATTTGGGTTTTCGTTTTTCAGCTTAATTTTGTGTTTTTGATGTTTATACCGGTTTCCATCGCTGTTTAAAATTCTGGGTGTTTGTGGGTTTGGCTTTCTATTTGCATAGTGGTAATTTCTTTCTCTTTGAGTGTAGTTGGTTTTTTGCTTGTTCTTGTTATTGTTTAAGTTGGAAGTAAAACTATTATGTAAGGAGGAAACGGAAGTAAAAAAAAGAGTAGAATGAAGTTGTTGTTATGCTGATTAGAACCATTTTGTCAGTGTCTTTTAGGAATTGAATAGGCTTGCATTGAGGTTGTCGGAGTCCAGAAGATTCTGAGAAAATTAATGGTCGTTGCATTGTGTAATTTGTTCTATGTGTTTGAAGGTGCAGAACCAATCAACATTGGAGCTTATATAGGGTGCATGAAGAGCCCCTTTTCCTCTCTTTCTTTATCTTTATGTCTCTTTGCTCTAGATGGTCTTCCTTCACTGAGGTTGTTCCCTGAAAAATTTCTTATACTAGATTAGGGGAAAAAGGTTTAGGTTTGGGTTGTGTGTCACCATGTTGATCATCAATTAGAAATCGTTTTATAGAGTAAGGTATTTGGTCCTTTCCTTCTTTTCTATTTTTGATGCAGCTGTTGTGGAGTGGAAATAGAAGGGTAGTTGTTGCTTAAAAGCTAATATTCCCAACTGTATGGAGCTCTGTTTAACGTGAATGGATATAAGTGTCAGAAAAAAGATGTAACTGGTATGGTTATAAATGTTGGTTACTGGTTATATACTAGAGATTTTTTCAAATTATCATCATCTGCATGAGCCGTTCTTTTTCCTGCCATCCAAATTACCGATATAATTGGTTTTTCTCTTATGAAACTCAGGGACTGTGTATATTACAGAGACTTTTCCAATTTCTTCCCCTCAATGTGATCAATGGTTGTAGTTTAGAAGGCAATGGTTGCCCAACCTGAAGCAAATGGAGACCAATGGTAGCATTCACCATTCCCCTGAAAATCATCCATCAATGTGTTCAAATAATGCTAACAAAGATCAATCCACTGAGAAGGAGGTTTTTGTCAACCATGGTAAGTTCTTGTTAAAGTGTTAAAGGATATCAATTTTCTCCCTGGAAACCTGTCATTCTGATTATATCTGTCTTCCTTGTGACTGTTGAATGGTAAAACTGATTTTTTTTAAGATCTTACTAGAACTAAAAGCAAGTAGTTTAGATTTGTGCATACTCAACTCATACTTTATAACTCAATGTGATTTCCTGCACTCATTTTGCAAGAAGCTAGTTTAAGTTTTTAATATTGCTATTACACTGCTAGGCAAGCTTGCATGCAATGAATCCATTTATTGTCTTTGTTATAATGTAGTCAGAGGATTGACAAACTCAAATGTTTATAAGAAGATAGTTTTAGGTGCTGGGCTAGGAAGTCAATGTTTTTTGGTGAGTAAATATAGTTTAATTATGCCTTTTTCTAGTGGCCTTATCTGAATATGAACTTCAGTAACAGAGTGTTTATCAACATATGAGATTGGGGTGTGAAGTGGCTATCATTTTACTTACCATCTAGACTTAAGGTTGGAGGGTGTCTGAGGTTCCTTAATAAAGGCGCTACATGCTAAAATTAGATTGTGGTTATGGAGTTATGGGTACTTTCCTTATGCAAATTATTGCTTTTATTGAACTCTAATTATGAGATTACTTTAAATTAATATTTTATTCTATTTTTCACAACTTTAATGTGCAAAAATTGTGCACAATCTTACTGTGCAGCTGAAATAATTTGGCATGAGATTAGAAGACAGTGGATTGGGGATCAGTCTCAAAAATCAAAAAGAACGCCCCAGGAACCAATAGTGAGGTATACGACTAAAGTTTTTTTCCCTGCTTTGTTAGAATCTTCTAATCTCAAAGTATTGAGTACCATTGTTGAGTTATTGTTCACTAAATTCTCAAAACCTAGCTTTTAGATGATTGAAACTGTAAAAAGACAATTTAATTTTTTTAAACCTTGGCCTCTATATAGTGCCTAATCTAGTTTCTGATGCTGCTTTATGTCAGCTTTCGGACATTTGGTTTTCTCTCTTCTCATACTGCTTTGTTGGAATCTCAACTTAAAGTAATGAGTACTATCAGTGATTTTAACTTTTCAGTAATCAATCTTATTAAAATATAGCTTTTAAACTCTTAAGTTGTAAGATGGGCAGTTAATTCTTGAAACCAAGCAAAGTATATCTCTTGGTGCTGCTTTAAGTACCTCTTGATACACCCCTTCCCCTCGTTATGAACCAAATAGGGTGCATGAAGTTCTTGTATCCACTCAAATATGTCCTACTTGTTGACATTCTTTCAGATGCAATTTGGAAAGCAATATTCTCAGATTCTTTCTGTTTCTTCCTCTACAGGGCAGCCGCATGGTATCCCTTGGTTCTTCGGTTGAATGTTCACCTTCCTTATATTCAGTTTTTTTGCGGTAAACCATGGATACATACAATATCTTATATGCACCTAGAAGGAGGAGGATCTTTTCTTTCTTTTCTCTTTAATAGTTAAGGGCGTAATTGTCACACCTTTTGGAAGTCATTTCATGCATTGGTAACCATCAAAGCGCTTCCCGGAATATAATCATACACCTAACAGTATAGGTATCTAGACGTTTAGTTCCTCTTAACTTAACCTCGGAATCTTCTTTTGCAGCTGGACCGCAACTTATGAGGATTTGCTTTGTTCGACTGAACTTTTTCAACAGCCAATCCCATTAGCTGTAAGTGTCTCAGAACATCTTCCTTCAACTTTCAGTTTTGGGCTAATATTGATGTGTCATTTGTCGTGAAAATGCAGGAGATGGTGGATTTTTTAGTTGACATCTGGCATGAGGAAGGCCTCTATGACTAGAAACTTGGGAAATTTATTATTTTAGTTGCACAGTTTTTGGTGCAAGATTGATCAAGATGAAGCAAAAGTACACATAGGTTATACAGATTTTCACTGTCTAAACTGATTGAATGATATTACCTTGTTGGATTGTCTTGTTCTTGATTAGATGAACATGAGTCACTAAAATCAATCCCCTGTAGCGTTTAACGACACTTGGGGGACTTTTAGTTCATATATTTGTCTAATCTTCTCGAGTAAGATTATTGCTGTTTTTGCTATTTGCGCTTTGTTTTTTTTTTTTCTTCAAATGTTGTTGTAAAGCAAGAAGCAACCACCTAAAAATAGAATCTTCTTATTTGATTAAAAATATGTGATTAAATAAAACTGAAACTTGAATTTAAGCCAATTTATCCTTTTTTTTTTTGCGGGGTGTAGCTTGGGCCTTGGAAGAGGCTGTTAAGGCCTCACAAAAGTGTCCCCCATGAGCATAGGCTAACAACAGCAGCTGAGTAGACTCCCATGAGAGGAATGTTTCTTCCAAACCAAGGTCCCTGGACTAATCGACTGACCACGGCCTGGAAGGGAAGTTTTTTAGATGATTAGCCCTTTCCATACCAACTCGGAAAAAACAACTGAAAGGCATCCAAATGTGAAGAAATATCGATGAAGCAAGACCATAGACGAAAGCGTCCGGGGCTCTTTGTTTTTCCTGGGAATTCAACTTTTGCCTTCACACCAATATGGAAAGAAGCCTTGAGAAATTTCCAACTCGAACATGAAAGCCAGGGCTTCATTATTACATGGGTCATAAACACTTGGGAGGGAAAAAGAAAGTTTCAATTTTGATTGATGATCAAGATTTGTTGCCGGTCATAAAAATTGAGAATTTGGTAGTACTGGTATTTTGGAACAATGAAAAAGCTACCTTTTGAAGTCTCACAACTGTTGCCCTTGTTAGAATCATGTAAAACCATAAAACAAGCATTTCAAGTTCATGCTGAAATAATCCTCCATGGCTTTCACCACCATTTCTTCCCCATCAGCAGACTCATCTCTTTCTTTGCCTTACTGGGTTCCAAAGATGGTCTTGATTACTCCCAGATTCTCTTCTGCCAAATTGAACATCCAAATCAGTTCATATATAACACTATGATAAGAGGCTTTTCCCATAGTGAATTCCCCGAAAAAGCACTTGTCTTTTACTGGTCCATGCTCCACCAAGAAAACCGATCTCCAAACAACTTCACTTTCCCATTTTTACTCAATTCTTGTGCAAGATTATCAACCCTTAAACCCGGAATTCAAGTTCACAGTCATATAATAAAAATGGGTTTCGACTCGGATGTTTTTGTTAGGAATGCTTTGATGCATTTTTATTCAGTTTTTAAACGTTTAAAAGATGCCCAGATTGTATTTGAAGGAAGTCTTGTTAGAGACCTTGTTTCTTATAATACTATGATAAATGGGTTTGCTTTGGTCGGCCAACCTGGCCCTGCTCTGCGTCTATTTAGAAAAATGCAAGATTTTGGTATTCAGCCTGATGAGTTCACTTTTGTTTCTTTGTTGTCTGCTTTTTCATCATTGAATGATTCTAGGATTGGAAAACAGATTCATGGTTTTGTTTACAGGAATCTATGTCGTATTGACTCTAATGTATTACTTCAGACTGCTATTCTTGATATGTATGCAAAATGTGGGTTGATGGATTTGGCTGAGAGGGTGTTTAGCTCGATGCCAAGTAGCAAAAATACTGCAGCTTGGAGTTCCATGTTATCGGGATATGCTCGACGTGGAGAAACGGAGGCTGCTAGAAGAATGTTTGATCAGATGGACCAACGAGATGTGATTTGTTGGACAGCTATGATTAGTGGTTATTCTCAGTCAGGACAGTACAGTGAAGCATTGGAACTTTTTGTGCAAATGGAAAGTTTGGGAATAAGACCTGATGAAGTGACTATGGCTGCTGTTCTTTCAGCCTGTGCCAGACTTGGAGCTCTTACTTTTGGTAAGAGACTTCATAGCAGGTACATTGAGGGTGAGTTATGCAGCCAAAATATTATTCTTTCAACTGCATTAATAGATATGTATTCAAAATGCGGAAATATAGATTCTGCTCTGGATATGTTTCACAGGATTCCAAAGGATTTAAAGACTGTTTCACTTTTCAATTCCATGATCTCTGGTTTAGCTCAGCATGGGCTTGGTGATTCTGCTTTAGCTGCTTTTAGGGAAATGGAATCGATAGGGCTGATACCAGATAGCGTTACCTTTGTGGCAGTTTTATCTGCTTGCAGCCACAGTGGGCTAATTGAAGAGGGCAAAGAGTTATTTAGATTGATGCCGGATGTCTATGGCATTAAACCACATATGGAACATTATGGTTGCATGGTTGACCTCCTTGGCAGAAATGGTTGCTTGGATGAAGCTTATGATTTAATTCAAAGTATGCCATTTGAGGCCAACTCAGTAATATGGAGAGCTTTATTGGGTGCTTGCAAACTCCTTGGAAATGTTAAGATTGGTGATGTTGCTAGCCAAAAACTTATTGAACTGGAGCCTGATCATGGAGCTCGTTATGTTTTGTTGTCCAACATGCTTGCCAACACAAACCAGTGGGAACAAGCTGGGAGAGTGAGGAAGGTGATGGAGTATAGAGGCATCCAGAAGCCTCCTGGGTGGAGCTATATCGAGTTGCAGGGAACTCTTCATCGGTTTATGGCTAGTGACAAGTCTCACTTGCAAGACAAAGGGATTGAATCCATGCTCCAGGATATGGCAATGCGTCTTAAATATGCTGGGTATGTTCCCAATACAGAACAAGTAGTGTTTGATATAGATGAAGAAGAGAAGGAAACTGTTGTCTCTTATCACAGTGAGAAATTGGCATTGGCATTTGGGTTAATCCACTCCGGCAGTGGAGAAACTATAAGAATAATGAAGAATCTTCGTGTTTGTGGAGACTGTCACTCGGCCTTTAAGCTTCTGTCTGAAATTTACTGTCAAGAAATCATTGTTAGGGATGCCATCAGATTCCACCATTTTAAGAGCGGATCTTGCTCTTGTAAGGGTTTTTGGTGATTAGAAATAGCAGAATGTGGTTTCTTACAGATTCTATTTTGGTACGGATGGTATAAATCCTATCTGTTATTGATAACTGTGTGAGTGAAATTGAGGGTAAAGGTATCTCACACGAGGTAATCTGATTGGTTAATGTGAAATGCTCTATTTTTTATGCGACACTGAATTGTGACACATTGCTCTCTGCTTTGCTTTCAAGATGAGAATGGTAGTATGACAGCAAGTCTTAATTAGAGGATTGAGATTTTAGACGGAGTTGCACTTGTGGATGCAATGGCTATCTGGTAACTTTGCAGCTTGCAGCTAGGATTGAGATTGATTCAACATATCTTGTTCGAGAGTGATCCAGTGGATGTTATTCATGAATTGAACTGTCTTCTGAGTTTATCCAACTAATCTTTTGGTTGAGATTGGACAGCCAATTTCAGGTTTTATTTGCTGCATTTTTAGCCATGTCCTGACCTCATGCAAATTGGTTGCTCATTGTCTTGCGAAATATGTTCTTCGAAACTGGAGTTTTATAGAATGGAGAAAAGCTGTCCTTGATTCATTTCTGATCCCGTATTGGAGGATTCATGTTAGCACATATGTTTTTCTTTAAAAAAAAAAAAAAATCTGGTGTATACATTAGGCAAGAGCCAAGAGGATGAACATCATCTAATCCAGTGGAACTGCTTGGACCAAGTTAAATGTGATTCTTTTGGTAGCCAGATGTGAATTTTTCTCAATCATCATGTTATTCTAAGAAAATTAGACAAATCTTTCTCGGATTGCTAGTACATCTTTGTATGCTAATTTTGTAGGAATACTAATAGCTATGGTCAATCACAAATACAATGTACTTAATCCTAACATTTCAACTGTCTTACCTCAAAAAAAAAAAAAAATTCAACTGTCTTACACGTTTTCATGTGTTTCAGCAAAAGCATGTATATGCATGAACAGTGGACATATGCTCAGCAGTCAGCACAAATTTATGGAATCAAGTAACCTTTTTCTTTTCCTCTTCTTATGGGTTGTAGTTCTCTCATTGGACAAAGTACTCCCAATTCCCAACGGATTGGGTTAACATCACATGCGGCCATATTCCATGTCTCGTTCTTATCTTAAAATAAATCTTATTCTTGTCATTGTTCTTTCAGGATTTTGTCTACGATTTTTTTCCATATTTTCATAGGATCACAATGGAAAAGCATAAAGGAAGAAAAAGGAAAGTACGGTTGAAATTTGGTATGGAAGAAGGGCTGAAGGATTGACTAGTCAAAGTCAACGGAAAATTTGAAGGTTGAACTCTGAATTGTCTCAGCCTCCATTTCCCTTGAAGTTTCTTGATGTGGAGGCTAAGAACAAAACAACAATCAAGACCAGAGAAAACAAAACATTTGTTGGAAAAAATGGAAAATCTCGCTTTTATTGTTAGAAATAGATAAAATATTCAGCTTGAAATTCAAAGACTATTTCCTGTCTATCAAGGAAAGCATTCTAGAACATTTTAAGACGAGATAAGTGATTGTAACAAGATATAGTAGTATTTGACAAAGATTTTGAAATTCCTTGAAAAAATTACCATATCTTTGTCAAAAAAAAAAAAATTTAAGTTACAATCATTATTCATGAATTTATAATTTTTCTTAGAGAAGGCTATTACTATCTTGAAAAAAGTAAAAGAGCTAAAAATTTTATAATCTTTGATATTTATAGATAGTGATAAATTTTTAGATTTTATTAACATAGATAAGAGGGTCATTACTTGTTTCTTAAGATGTGTTGAAATTTTTTTAAATTAATATAATTTAAAAATGCACTAACAATTTTTTAGTATCATATTAGACTCATCAAAGATATTATATTATTTTATAAAATCATTTGATATTTTCAATTTAAATCAATCAAGTAAAATTTTATAAAATTTAAAAATTTTATCAATAATTTTAAAAAAATCAAACTCTTATGTTATTTTCTTAGACTTGTACTTTTTATTTTCAAATTTAAAATATTACTATTAATAGGTCATAGAAAAAGATTGTTTAGGTATAAAAGCAATGCCTAAGTTGTATTTTTGGCCAGTGATTAGTAAGTTTGTTAGACACGTTTTGGTGACGATGTAAGAAGTTGTCACTTTCCTGATTCAATGAAAGCATATTATTCTGTGGCAAACTCATTATTCCATAAACTTTTGGGGCCATAATTTATAACAGTCAAAACTTTATTCTTTTAATTATCACAATTCGCAAGCCAAAAGCACAATCTCCAAATTCGGTTTTTTTTTTTTTGTCAGATCAAATTCAGTTTCAACGATTTTGTTTTTCTTGTTAAAATTAGTTTTTTTTTTTTTTTCTTTTTTTGCATTTTATTATTTTTTTAATAATATTCAAACAAAGACATAGAAACTTGAAAACCCTTCTTAGATAAACAACTTGTGGCGTCCAAAAGAATCCCATCCTTTTTATTGTCTTTATATTTGATATATTTGCTTCTTCAACAAAAACCAAAATATCTTTTAATTTTGTTTTTCGTTTTTTATTCTAACAAATACCCATTGAAGAAAAGGCACAAGGAAGAGGAAAGGAGGATTCTTCATTTGGTTTTAGAGCTTTCTTTAGCTTTGAAGTCTAAAGAAAGCCATTTCCTTAAAAGGTAAAATTTTTTATTTTAAAGAATTCATACCAAAAAAGGCAAAATTTTTTGGCAATCTGGTGAATATCCATTTTGCTTAATTTGCCAGTGATTAATTTTTATAAACCCCATTTGCTTAAAAAAATTGTTCTTCCTTTTTTTTTTTTTTTTATGAAATGAGATCTTTGATGTGGCAGTGAAGATATGGAGATCGATAAATCAATCAGAGAAAGTGATGATAGGAGGCTTAAGACCAAATACAACAACGCCATCTATGTTATTAAAAGAGCTCTTGCTCTTTATTCGTGAGTTCTTCATTTCTTTCTTTCTTTCTTTCTTTCTTTTTTTAATTTTTTTCCCTGCTTCTGGGGTTTGCTTGATTCTTTGTAAAGTCTATAGCTTTGTCATTCATGGAATTTTCTGTGAACTGGGTTCTGAGTGTTGTAACGCAAAGGGATTTGATTGACTCCTCCATTTGGTTGTCTATAGAAATTCAGGAAACAAGGGACAGTAAATTGTTTAATGTTGAATTTTATTTGTTTTTATTTTCTGGAGGAAAAACTTGGTGACCTTGTTTAAACCCTAGAATCTGGAGGTTCTTTTGGTGCTCTGGTCTCAGATAGTGAAAACTTAATGAATCATATTTTTTGTCCCGCATTTTCCAGCAAACAAATGTTTGAAATTACAATCAATGTATATCTTTGTCCTGTGCCAGTAGAAGTTATCTGCTTTTGGATGTTTGCAATAGCTGCATGCGTTTAACTCTTCAATCCAAAATGTTTGACTTGTTAGTTTTGGCATTTAGGAATGTGTTTAATGTTAAACCCTGGAAGATTTTATTCATTTTAGCTCTATATTAGGAAATGTTTTAATTGTGAGTTGTCGTAGTGCAATATAGCCTAGGAGAACACATTTTTTATTTTATTCGTTTTAGCTTTATATTAGGAAATGTTTGAATTGTGAGTTGTCGTGATGCAATATAGCATAGGAGAACACATTTTTGATTTGATGCATAAAGGACAGATGAAAAGATTCAGATGCGGATGCTTGAAATTATTTTGGTTAGTCTTGATCAGATCTGAATGAATGGTGGTTTGACATGTTGCTTGTTAATGCATTCTAGTTATTGATATTTGTCTGGTTTGTTGCTGTACTCCTAAGATGCTTTTAGTGCAGTTGCTGCAAGTATTAGTGTTGTGAGAATTGCAAATGAGATATGAAGATAATTTCTTTTTCTTTTTTTACTGCCTTTTGAGTTTGCACGTGTGGAGGGAGGGTGTTTTTGTGTTTTTGTAAAATTCTTTTTGTGTGTATAAGCATGCCTGCAAGCTGAGGGAAAGTGGTGGTGGCGGGTAGGGCATGGTAGGACTGGTATAACTTGCTTAGTTATGTGGAGTTTCTGGCCATCTTTGGTATAAGGAAAGCACTAACATATTAATTTTTCCTCTGCTAAATATTTTTCTGACACATTTTTGTAAAGTTTGAACGGTAGATACAAATAAGTGGCCAGTTCATTGGTAATCAATTCATATGCAAAAAAAGAAATATAAGAATAATATAATGATATCAATGCAATGAAAATTTCTGAAATACTGACTGGTTCATTGGCTGCCATTTTTTTAGTATTCTATCTTACTTTGGTTATGTGGAAGGAATAATATGATTAAACTTTGGGATTTATTTAAAAATTTAAACAAGTTTAGGCTTGTCTCAATTGTGCCAGTGAAAACTTTCTAACGTGTTATTGGAAATCTTGAATGGTGTTTGCAACACAGAATATAGTTTATGCTGAAATTTTCTGTGTAGTTTTAATCATGCCAAATTGGAAGACAACAATAAACTCTATGTACTTTAAATGCCTAGCTAAGGTGGTTGGCAAGTGGTTGTCATGGAGGTTATAGGTTTGAGCAATAGTGCTTGCCTATTTTACCAGAAAAATGTATATCATATACTTAATGGACTTGCACAGTAATATTAATTAAGTCTTATTTGTTTGTTAACTAGTAAATATGCTGATGCTTGTAAGTTCCAAAAAATTTTTTTCCTCTGCAGTATTGAAGAGGTTGCTTTCAGCTTCAATGGAGGAAAGGATTCTACTGTAAGTGAAACATGCATTTTTCTTAAGTAATCCATCTGTTTTTTTGTGTTAATAGTGACAGTGACCTCTGATGTTATAGGTTTTGCTGCACCTTCTTAGGGCTGGCTATTTTCTGCATAGAGCAGAACAAAGCTGTTGTAATGGGGTTTTGACAGATTTTCCAATTCGAACAATATATTTTGAGAGCACTTCTGTTTTCCCGGAAATAAATACATTTACCTATGATACAGCAAAGACGTGAGAAAAGCTTTTCTTCAATATTATCACTCTATACTCCAGTATGTTTCACAGGTTCTTACGCATAGCTATGTTTTTTTCTATAAGCAGTTATGGCTTGCAAATGGATATTATCCGCACAGATTTCAAGTCTGGTTTAGAGGCTTTGCTGAAGGCTAAACCAATCAGAGCAATATTTCTTGGTGTACGAATTGGTGATCCAACCGCGGTAATATTTCATCATACGATTATATCTGAGCTACATCTTTTCCCATTCATTTTCTATTACTCCATCTGGTAAAATTCTATACTTTAATTCTATATGTTGAAAAAAGCTTATACTTGACATATATATGGTTTTAAAATCTTACAGGTAGGCCAAGAGCAGTTTTCCCCTAGTTCACCAGGATGGCCGCCTTTCATGAGAGTAAATCCAATCTTGGATTGGTCATACAGGTCTCTCAATAAATTATCCTCTTTATTGTTAAATGAAAAAAAAAAAACTCACGGGACCTAAAAGAGAGGGGAAAATGGAGAAATGTTGCTCAGACTATATTGCTATTACTTTTTCTATGCTGATGGGCGAGTAATGTTGTGATGTTACTGCACTTTGCATGGTTTTGGTCTGAGATAAATTTTGGCTTTTTGGCAGAGATGTGTGGGCTTTCCTCTTAACTTGCAAGGTTCAATACTGCAGTCTTTATGATCAGGGGTAATGATTCTTCTATTTTGTGTGAAATATTAGCTCTATTGCTCTTGTTTTTTTCAGCTATGTTTTTAAGTTTTACCGGTTTGACCTTAGTTGCAAACATATAAGATGTGTACCTATAACTTATAATTAGTTCCCTATTAATTTGTTACTATCAAACTATTCTCTATTTGATTTTCATCTATGTTTTACAGTTATACTTCGATTGGAAGCATATATGATACGGTGCCAAATGCCTTGCTTTCTATCAGCAACACCACCAGCAAAGAAAAATTTAAACCTGCATATTTGCTTTCTGATGGAAGACTAGAGAGGGCTGGGAGAGTTAAAAAAAAATCTCCTTTAGATGGCACTCATTTTCCTGCTGTCAACAATGGCTTAGACAGTGTTGATTCACATAGAAACAGGATGTTTACTGCCTCAGTAATTGGTGTGGGGGATGAGATTCTGTAAGTCCTTCTTAGTCTTCATTTTTTTCTTTTAAGAGGGGTGGTTTGGGTAGGGGGTTTGAATCAGTGTTAGTAAACAGGGAAAGGAACTATAACTGCCAGATATAAAAATTTAACAAATGGGTGACTGCAAAGTATAGATGCTTCCCCTTCTTGTCCCCTCTATCAACCTTTTTCTTCTTCTCTATGTACTGCTATTGCTGAAATCCTATGGTGTCTGTTACATAGCTCAGGTTTGGCACTGTTGAGGATCAGTTGGGGCCTTCAATGTGCAGAAAGCTCCATTCCATTGGTTGGTTGACATCACAAACTGCTGTTGTCAGGAATGATGTGAGTTTACTATCTCTATTCTTCCCCTTAATTAAAACTCATTTTGTGTGTCTTTGCTTATTTAATGAACTAGTATGTTGTACCCTATACATATAGGGTAGGCCTCTCAATTCATAATCTACATTGGACATTGACATCTAATTATAAGCTTTATGTTCAGTTAGGAAATTTTTGTGAAGCATTGTGGAAACTGTACAGTCTTCATCTATTGAGCGTGTCTTACAATTCTATCTTTTTTTACTTTTCTTTAAATCAGATAGATTCTGTGGCTGAAGAGGTTGAACGATGTAAATCTACCAGTGACATGGTAAACTTTTGACAGTTCTTTGAAGAGCCATCTAGTGTTTGTTTGTGGTGATGACATCAAACAAATAAGGATTGTTGATTTTTAAGATGGTCTATGCTTTTCATGTCCATGTAGGTATTTTTGTATGGAGGTGTGGGCCCATTGCATTCTGATGTTACTTTAGCTGGTGTGGCAAAGGCATTCGGGGTTCGCCTGGTGCGTGGTTTTATTTGAAGTAAATGTTTTAGATTGACAGATTGTGTGTCATAGAGCTTAGCAATCTATTTCATCAGTTTCTGAATTTTGCCTAAAATCTGCTTTCTTGACGATTGAAACCATATGGTTTATTTACGAGAAATATCGTTTAAATTTTGTAAGCCACCCTGTTTCTGTAGGCTCCTGATGAAGAGTTTGAGGAATTTCTAAGGCATCTTATTGGTGATCACTGCACTGGCGATAGAAATGAGGTAAAGACTATGAAGATTGATTTACACCCTAAATATTGCTAGATTTCATTGCATATGCATTTATATCTAAGGATGAGATTTCAATATCCAGCAGACAGAATATCTTGTCGCCACTATAGAGCTTGACTCTGCTATTGAGAGATTATTTTGTGGTTGACTGAAACCAATTCGTTTTGAGGTTCTTGGTCTACTGGCTTAGAAAGACATGTAAGGTGGGAGTTCAAACCCCACCATCCCCATTCCCCATCCCCTATCCGGTGGACCAAAAAAAAAAAAAAAATTCTGCCTGTTCAAATGGGAAATTTAATCACCCATGGACATCTACTTTTCTAGATTAGCGCTTTCATATAAGGAAATACAGTTTGAGAAGGAAAGCTTGAATTTTACCATAGTTCTGCCGTAATCTGCTTTTAGTGATTACTTTGCACATTTATTTCATTATTTGTGTTGGTTTTTTGTATCCTAAATGTGATCTCATCATTGGGTTTTCTTCTCCAGATGGCTCAATTACCTGAAGGCATCACTGAACTATTGCATCACGAAAAGCTGCCTGTGCCTCTGGTAGGTGTAGAACCTCACATGAAAAATATATTACAGCAATTATTGCTTCTTGGCCATGTTGACTGTCATATATTTTATATGGTAGATGAAATGTTAACTTGAATCATTAATTATCTAATGATCCTTTGTGTAGATCAAATGTCATAATGTAATCATACTTTCTGCAACAAATGCTACTGAGCTGGACAAGCTGTGGGATTGTCTGATTGAATTAACAAGATCTGATGACTGCTTGGTGACAATGGAACCATACTCATCAAAGCGCTTGATAACAAATCTAACTGATGTATGTCTTACAATCTCTTGCTGTTGTTGATAATTTTGCTTTTTAAGTTACAGTGTGCTTTCCTTTTAGAGTTGATTTATAATCCAATGCTTTGGTTTTATTTTTTTAATATGATTTCTTTTTAAAATCATTAATCTTTTGCTTTTAACATCATTTGTTTGGCAAATCGCAGGTAGAAACTGCTCAACCCCTTTTAAAACTTTGTCTTGAATTTCCAGACCTTTACATTGGTAAGGGTATTCACAATCATTTATTTTCTGGAAAATATGATATTTTCTTCTATCTTTTGCTAAGTGTTACTCTTTTTGTGCGACATCAAGGTTGTTTCCGCAAATCTAGACAAGGGCCTCTAGTAATTAGCTTTGAAGGCAAGGTACAGGAGAATATCACGAGGATATCAAGCATTTCTCATTAAATTACATACTGGTGTTGTACTCCCTTCCATACGTTAATACTTTACTAATTTGGTTACAGGACCCAGCTAGAATTCAAGCAGCTGTAGAAGCTTTGTGCAAGAAGTTCCATCCAGGGGCATTCTCTGAAGTCAACTAGATAAATCTGCTAATCATTCAAGCTTTGCTCGGCAAGCTTCAAAATCCAAGAAGCTTCTGCAAGTTCCAGTTTCCAGAGTATATGCGGTGGAAACGTGCGTTTGGATAGTTGCAACTGAGAAGGGAGAAGGAAAGTTAGAAGGGGAAGATCACATAAAGATAGATGCTCCATAAATTGTCTGGTGAAAACCGAAGTGACAGTTAAGGACTTAAACAATTTGTATTTGTTCTTTAGCCAAGATCAATGAATCCGACAGCTCTATTCTCAACGATCAAGGGTGTTTCAGCGAAGAGCAAAGTGAACACTCTTTTTGAATGATTCTTTTGTTTGAATCGCCAGTCTTTCTTATTCGAGTGATGTCTTCCATTGCTTGCTTGGTTTATTTGCATTTAAAATTTCTTCCACTCTGAACTTCGTATCCGGTGTTTTGCATAAACCAAGCAGGAGCTGATAGATAGTCAGTCATTGGCATTGATTAAAGATATCGTAAAAAGATATTATTTGAAAAATTATATTTATTATATTATTTCGATCAAATTCAGAAAAATAATATATTAATTAAAATTTTCATTCCTTAAAAAGGTTGGCATTTCCTTTTTCAAACTCGAAAGTCTCAGACCTCACTTTTGTGTTTATTTTTTTTTAAATGAAGGAAAGATTTTCAAAATGAAATTATTTTTATAAAATTTTATTTTTAAATTTTTTTCCTTTTTCCTTTTTTTTTGTTTTTTAAAAAATTATTTTAAAATTATGACATATGTCATGAGATAAGATAAATAACAAAATATACCCTATATATTATAATGTGATTGGATCAGGGGCACATTATCGTCTTTAGTTAACAGCATTTTTCAGATGTCATAATATATATATATATATATATATAATCATCACACATTTTAAAAGTAAAAATATCGTTTTAAAAACTTTCACTTTTGCTTGGGGCTAAATATGATATTGCCCTTTGGAAAACAATGTCTTTTCATAAATCTCCTTTGTCATATTATGCGAATCTAAGCATCCTAATTATTGAACTTCACTTTATTGTAGTTGCTTTCAATCCAGTATTCTTTTATTTCTCGTTTCAAAATATACATATGGAAAGAGATTAATTTACACAAAAAAATTTTATATTTTTCAATTATTAATTTTAATAAATCTAAAAAATGAGATTAATTCTTTTTGTATTTGATTATCTTATTTTTTGGATCTATTAAAATTATTAATTAAAAAATAAAAAGTAAAATTATTAATTTTACACTGACATAAATTGATATTTCTCATATATATATATATTATATATATGAGAAATATCAATTTATGTCAGATTTTAATAGATTATAACAACACGTATGCATATCCATGTATATGTATACATAGTTATGTATGTATGAATACATGTACAAATATTAAATGTGCATCCACCTCCATCACTTGAACTGAGTTCAAGCAAAAATCGATAGCGATCCTTGCACCGAAACAAACTTTGGGAATACAGGACAACACGAATCATCCAGCAGGTGAAGCATACTAGCACAAATGGTAATACTTCATACGCTCAGCAATATTTGAATAAATGAAAAAAAAAATTGCATTGAATAATAGACAAGATACAATCCCCGACAACCAACGTGGATGGTTGCGGAAAAAAATAATGTCCTGAAAAGGAAATAGAAAGTAAAGAATGTAAAATGAAACAAATGACTGACGCCACAAATACTATGCGGATCTAAAACTTTGCTAACACCTTAATTTGATAGCACACATCTAGAATCCCGCCTTTGACCTAAACCCTTTTAGCATCCACTGTATGTATGCATCGAAGGTTTCTTTATTCTTCTCCTGTATATCAGTATCCTGGCTACGATAGTAACCATTTGTTGAAGATTTTTATCTAGCCAGACCAACTTATGCCTTTGGCTTAAGAGGCTTAACAATCTCCCAAGTGAAATCTGGGTCATCGCGGCCAAAATGACCATAAGCAGCAGTCTTTTGATACCTAAACTTGCCTCCTCTCATCAAGTCAAGATTGAGAGAGATCATTCCTGGCCTGAAGTCAAAATTCTCCTTAATTAATTCCAAAATATCCTTATCTGGGATCTTGCCTGTCTTGTATGTATCTACAAAAACCGACAATGGCTCTGGCACACCAATTGCATATGATACTTGCACAATACAGCGACGCGCAAGCCCCGAGGCCACCACACTCTTTGCTGCTTGTCTAACAATGTACGCACCACTACGGTCCACCTTAGTAGGATCCTTCCCTGAGAAGGCACCTCCACCATGAGCACCCCAGCCACCATAGGTATCAATAATAATCTTTCGGCCGGTGAGTCCTGCATCTCCGTGAGGTCCACCAATAACAAACCTGCCAGATGGGTTGAGGTGGAAAATGGTATTGTCATCGAGATACTCTGCTGGAATAACAGGCTTAATGACATGCTCTTTCAAGTCCGCCGCAATCTGCTCATTGGTGACAGTCTCATCATGTTGCGTTGAAATGAGAACAGTGTGAACACGAATAGGGACCATGGCTCCACCCTCATTACGATACTCAACAGTTACTTGGGTCTTACCATCAGGCCTCAACCATGGACATGTCTTGTTCTTTCTCACTTCAGTAAGCTTGGCACCAAGCTTAGTTGCAAGCACATGGGTTAGAGGCATTAACTCAGGGGTTTCATCGGTGGCATAACCGAACATGTGACCCTGGTCACCAGCCCCAATTTCCTCAGGTTTCTTGGTGAGGTGGCCATGAACTCCTTGAGCAATATCAGGGCTCTGTTGCTCAATATTTACTAGAACTTTGCAGTTGTCAGCATCGAGACCAACATCAGGAGATGTGAACCCTATACCTCTGCAAGTATCCCGAACAATTTTCTCATAGTTAACCTTGGCCTTGGTTGTGATCTCACCGAAGACCATAACCATGTTAGTCTTGGTGCACGTCTCACAAGCCACTTTGCTTTCTGGGTCTTGCTCTAGGCAGGCATCAAGGATAGCATCTGAAACCTGGTCACAGATCTTGTCAGGGTGGCCTTCATTGACAGATTCGGAAGTGAATAGGAAGGTATCCATATCTGCACTTGACCACATCACAATGCATTAGATTAAATTCACTTCAATTAAAATTCAAAGGTAACAAAAAAAATCATGCATTTTGTTCTTCAAAATAATCAAAATTTTAACATTTTATTTCAATGAATCAACATTACTTAAGAAATTCATAAAATCAAGCAATTTATGGACCTAGAAACCTAGTGATAATTAGCATTCCATTACAGATTAACTAAATCTTATCTTTAAATATTTCGCAAATCCGATAAATGGAAACAGACTCACTGAATTTAAATACTAAATCTTATCTTTAATCTACGAACCGTTCAGATCTAAAAAAAAAAAATCTTTGTCAATAAGAAATCTAAAGACAAGATGTAGAACAAATTCAAATTAAATTCTGAGAGAATAAAAAAAATAAAAAGAGGGGATTGGAGCCTACCGCTTTTTGAGATCTGAAAGAAGAGAAAATGAGAGTGACACGACAAGAGGAAGGTTGAAGAGGAATTGAATTATAGGGGAAATGGGGATTTATCTATAGAACCGAACGACTAGTCTTTTGACTCGCTCTTACTCTTCTTCTCTCCCTCTCTCTCGCTCGGTTTCCCGCTCTTTTCGGTGTTTGGCTTTGCCTCTGTTTTTTCAGGGTTTTATAGCCTCACAAAAATATTATCTTCTGCTTCTCGCCACAGATGTTTGAAACAATATTGACCATCTAGATTATGACCAGATCTAGTTGAGGAAAACGGAGGGCCGGGATGAGATGTAGTGGTTATGGGAGCGTAAGAGATGAGAAGGTGCGGATTGGTGAGAAATGGGTCCCACCCGCACCGACATTCCAACGTGGACCCGGGGCTCCATTCTTTTCAGTTTCAGATGCCATCTTGATATTTTTGTTGCCTGGCCTTTCACATGGGTTGGGCCACTTCTTCACCTTTTTACTATTTTCATTCACTTTCCCTTTTTAATGTTAAAATATAGAATCCACCTTGAAAATTGGCATGGGTTGGTACATCCTGTTATTTATTGAGGCACGGGCCTAACCTGGTTACGCAATGTGATGATTGTATGTTTGGGTGATAACAGTTGGAGAAGTGAAGACTTTGAAAGAGTATGCTAGGTATTCGTGCAAAATACATAACTCTGCTTATGATTATAAGTAAATTTTGCTACAAAATTGCACGTACATGTCATTTTACAATGCATCTTTCAAAGAAAAAAGAAATTCTGATATCGATGGGAATATTATACCCATTCCAGAAGAAACAATGTGTGTATATATATATAAGCAGAAGAAATTTGTGACTGCTATAGATAGGCAGAGGCAGAGCTGTGATCAGTAACTAAGGCCCAGTTGAAGCCCAAGGGCAGCATGGATAAGAAACAGTGTCATGATCCCACTGCCTAAAATTCCATGCACATTCCTCAATCCGGGATTACCCTACAAATGATTAGAAGAGGGAGAAAAACCCATCAGGGAGTAGCAGAGAAAAAGAACATAAGAATGATAAGATATTCAAATATCAGGATTATTGCTACTGTAATCTTATTGTTCGTTTTAGGAGCAAATCAATGTTTCATCAATCACCTCAAATAATGTTGGCAAAATGGTTTGAATTGTCAGGAGAGTAAGACCAATGAAACCTGTAACTGCATGTGGACTGCAAAGAAAGATGCAAAAAGTTTATTCATTCTAGGTAGGTACTGATAGATATTTGATTGGATAAAAACATTTCAGGAAATAAAAGATGGAGTACCTTTCAAATATAGGTTTGTCTGAAGTTAGCAGAGATGTTATTCCACCAGTTGCTCCTAGAGCAAAGAAGAAAAACATACCACCTAGAAGCTTTGGGTGCAAATCTTTAGCATTGGCTTTTTCCTCCTGAAATGATCAGAGTGATATCACGGTAAGAAAAGGAGATTGAAGAAATCACAACTAAGATTTTTCTTTTCCTAATAAATTTCTTACCATATCGTCAGAATAGCGAATGCGGAAGCCTAGATATGTTCCATACCCTCCCATGGCGAAAAGCACAACTGCCTAAGAATAACAGGAACAAAACAAACCTTTTGCATCAATTCAGAGACATTAGGGAAAATGTTGCTAAGAATGTTGTAAGGCAAGCAGTTTCCAACAGATAATTCAGAGCGGAAGCACAGAATCTTATACCATGTTTCCAGGGTGCCCCCAATGCACAAGCCAATCAGGCAGACTCCATGATTTCACTAGCTCAACAAAAGGACCAAAGAGAGACCTTACAGTCCCAGCTGTTGTAAAAGATATTCGAGCTTGGAATAAGTAATCAGGAGAAATACGAAAATTAGAGTAAAGACAAACTTTGCTTTGGATTTCTCACAGCAAGCCACTAGCCTGTCTTGAAAAACAAATCTGTTAAATGCTAGTATATCTACCTTAGCAAAAAAACCCAAATTCTACCTCTCCACCAGTTTATACAACATATCAATCAATTCTAGGGCATTTACAACAACCATGCCCTTTAAATTAACAGGAGGTGACATTCACATATTATGTTTTGCCTCAAAACTTGTTATACATTCACGTATTATGTCAACATTCTCGATTTGCTTCTCTAGAGAACCATTCGAGAGATCATTGGTTTGGCTTGTTGTGCATAATAACTCAACAGGAGGTGACATTCTAGGAAGAGGATATAAGCCTCCATGAACTAATCAGTAAGTCATAGTGAAGAGCAGCCACAGGATAAAGCAACAGAGGAATTTGATTAAAAGATGCTGAAATGCAAATGCAACATATATTAGTTATTACCTCCAGGAAGAGCCGCCACAACGAGCAAAGGTAAAGGAATGAAGGAGTACAGTAATGTTTCTGTAGGCCCCCTCAATTCTTCCACTTTCGCATCCGTTCCATCATCAGCTTCGCTTAACTCATTCTTTACTGCAAAAGATTGACTGAACAGAATTTTTCTCTTTCTTGTTGCTTGCAATTCGAAAGGCAAGCACTTAGTTGGAGTGCCAAAAGAAGTAGGCGTGCGATAAGGAAATGAAGGGGCAGCAGGGAGGATAGAAGTAGTCCTTAGAGTAAAAGCAGTGGAAGAATTTGCCAAAGCCATTTAAGAAACAGGAAAAACAGCAAAGAAATGAAAGAATGTCTGTGTTTACTGAAGTTTCAAATCAGGACTCTGTTATTCGGCTTAGGCCACAGCGGGATTAGAGAAAAGAGTATATTGAAGGATGACAGGACGTGAAGAAGGAAAGGTGAGGAAACGGACACGCCTATAGATATGGAACCTTTCCACGTGGTCTCAACTCTCAACACGCTTGCCTTCCTAGAATCTTGATTGTTTCAACCTTCCACTTTCCTACGGCCCCATTGGAGAAGCCAAAACAACATATAAGTACAAAAACTACCGTTCAGTAGTTGCCATTGAGCAATTTTAGCACCATCTCATGATGCAATATCAGGATTCAGGAACTTAAGCCTTAAATTCTTTGCTTTACTAAATGGAAAAAAGTTGTCAACGATAAACGAAAATTGGGAACTGTTTTGAACATGCAAAAATTTTTATTTCCAGAGTAATAACGTAACTCATTCAAAAAATATTCCTGTATAGAAGAAAATTGCTGATTCTCCTTTATACGTAATCTTTGGGATTTGCTCATCTTATTTTCTTGGAAGGAACTTTACTAAGCTGGTTAGCGATGACAAGAATCGGCCAATGCAATCCTATCTTAATCATCGCAACTAGCACAACAGGTAAAATCCTCTGGATATGCAAAAAGAAATTTTGCACTGGAAACTAACCGAACTGCAACTGTAAGTTCACATGTTTCAAATTCCCAACTCACTGAATCTTTACAGCTCTGAAGTCACATGTTAACATGGACAATAATGGTGACAAGATTCTACCTAAAGTTCCTAGGAAACCTCCTACAGAATTCAGAGTTCTCAATGTTTACAAGAACCAGAGATATACATAGGTAGCTACAAATCATTTTTACATTGGTAGTACCAGACTTGGAGAAAATCTGTTGCTTCAATGTGTTCTACTGTAAGTCAATGAAACTTACACATCCTTTGCTAACTATTACCTTATCCTATCAAAAGTTTATGCATGTTGGCATGTAATGCACGGCTATATCACAAGGAAAATGTTGAAGTCCATATTTTGTGTGACGCTAACAGCTCATCTTAAACCTAAATCTCATGGTCATGCATGACACGAGCCACCTTCCTCAATGCAGGCAGTGTGCTTCTCTATTCCAACTGACATCACCGGATGCCAAATAAATCTGCTACTTTACTCTGAGCAACAATCTGCAACCACAAGTATAAATTAACAATGAATTTCACTAGCTTTTTGTTTTTGGTACAATGATGTCCACTAGCTAGTTCAGGAGAAAGAAGCCACAATATCACATTTTAACTTCTCTAGTTGTGTATATTACATAGTGATATCAAGTATAAGCCAACTCATGTATCGCATGCAATAAGTCTTCAATCGATAAGAGAATGACAATAAGATTTTTTACTATCTACTGTTTTTACACTGTCTATAAAAGCCATGTCTAAAATCTTAATACCAGCAGGCATAAACTTTTTTTTCAATATTAGGCACAAATGAGTCACTAGTTCATGCTAAGGTTTAGAATGCACATTTAAATAAATTTATGGTTAATATTTGTTCAAATCATTTTCTCTTTTTAAATTAATTTTCATGCATCTTCCTACTAGGTTTAATACCACTAAATTTCAGCAAGAGATTAACTTCAACATGCATTCTAAACCTTAAGATGAAGTAGCGGACATCTCCACTACTTATTACATAGTGAAGTGGATCCTTACGCCATGTTGGGACTATAAGAGTTTAGGCCCACATCAGTTTAGATTTAAATGCTGGTTCATTATTTAAGGTCGTCCTAGAGTATCAAATATAATGTCACCATCAGAATTAAGATTTTGCATTGATTACAGCTAAGCAACTAATAATGGAAAAGCCATTTACCTTACTGTTATGCAGTATGTAACGAATCTCCCTCTTCCACCCATCCAAAATTAACTATCAACTCGGAGAATGTTGTTACATATTCCACTGTCATTAGTTGACTCTCTCTGAGGATCAATCTTCCATTTACCATCAACGATAAATTTTATCTGCAATTAAACAAAATGATGAAATGAAAGTCAGAAGGGGTTCATTCCTTTTATCAGACAGGCACAGTATGATCTTTAATTACAACATTAGATCCAAAAATCATGTACATTCAAAATTTAAAGCAGTCACTTCTATGCCACTCACATTTCAAAGGGATCTTCTGTTTTTCAATTGGAAATAGAAAGGAAGAATTTAGGGGCAGATATAAAGTAAAAGCTTCCCTTATTTTTCATTGTTTTCCAGAATACTGTTCTTAGAAGAAAGAGTTGTGAACTTTCAGATTTTTAATGGATTCCTTAAGCAAGCATTAAAGAAGGTTCTGATAATAAAGGGCACTTTTGATCCTAAACCACAGGGGCCTTTTGACTAATTGGACATAATTGTGGTGCAGATTCATGCCCCTCACCTCAACAATTGGTAGTGTAGTTTTGGATCTAAGAATTCTATTTAAACAATAAACCGAAGTGAACAGAATAGTTTTCACTTTTGTTTTATAGTTAGTTTTGAACAGCAAGCTATTCGGTTTGGTTTTGGTTTTTGAAAGCTAAATAGTATGGTATAGTTTCAAAAGTTATAAAAAAAACTAATTTGTGTTGCAACAAGCATCTAATTTTTGCTTGCTATCATTATGAAACACAAAATATAGCTCTAGGATATATCTAGGAACCTAATCGGCATAACTTGAGCAGGCAGCACTATGAATAGCACTGCTTCTGGAGTGAAGTGCATTGAAAACCAAATGGTTTCAATATATGACAGTAAATCTGTAGAAGTAAGCACATTAATATGTCGGTTGCAATGTAGCCATAACTAGATAATTCTCTCCAGATATTATGCTAAAGTTAGTATGTTATTTGGTAGATAAATTCCATACCTCATATATCCCAGGATAAAGCCATAGCACTGTTGACCAGATTTTGGACTTCCTGGTAAGTGTGTAAACATAGTAAGTTCATTTTTCTTCTAACAATTATAAGCAGAAGTATACAATCTAGAGAAAAAAGATAGCATGAAGAACCTACAAAAAGATTGAGTTACGCTGCCTCAAGTCCAATGAAACATCATTTGCTAGTAATAATAACAGAAAATATTGTGCAATTCAGATGACATATAACATATGAACATATAAGTGAGGTGTCAATTCATTTTAACATGCCAGAAACAAACTTGAGGAATGAATATCATAGGAGTGCACCAGAAAGGAGACATTTTCTTTCAGAAAGGCAGCCAAACTGAATCAGGAATGAGTATCATAGGTGTTTATTCAAAATTTTGCCAAAGCATTAGGCAAGTACAACAATATGCACCAATTCAACTTTGGGAAGCTCATTTACACACTTTGTCTACCAGTTGATTTTCTGATATATTTCAAACTAAGCAGAATGATTAAGAAGTGAGAAGTAAGAAAGCCACTGTAAGCCTAATATAGAAGATACAGTTCGAAGGGAAAAACAGAAAATAGTCTTGAACTAAGCTTCAAGTCAAGCTATGACATGGCCTACCTCTACATGGTTTCTTCAATATGCTGGTTGTTAAATTTTTCACACCTCCTTCTGATAAATGAACATGCTGTAGAAAACTCTAGTAGAAAGGAGTTGATTTTCTAGTCCTACTACAAGGTTTCAATTAATAAAGGGAACAGTGGGATATTAGTGAACACCAACTTACCGGTTAAATATAACAGGTTGAGTAACTCAAGCTAAAACTAACAAATGTGATCATCCAGAAGATATAATTCAATCTAAAGACCAACACTCTAGCAGAAAATTATTCCATGAAAGAGAACTTTGAAAACCTTGATTCAATGGGGTTTTTAATGGTAGAAGATGGCTTAGGATCCATTTTAATCCGATGATGCCAACCATTGAAGCTACCAGCTACCTCCACAATTTCACCATCTCCAGAGTATTCGAGTTGGACCTATTATAGAAGTCCAAATTTCAGTTTCATTTGGTTTGATATTTACTTTTTTTGAAGAAACTACAATAACAATGAACAGGAAAATGCTGGGGGAGATTGACAGCAAAAGGATAACATAATCTTCCTCTCTGAATGATTATAGTAAGAGAAAATTACCATGCTCATTAAACATATAAAAAAAGGAAAAACAAAAAGAAAGAAGGCACCAAGCAAGGCTGGTTGCAAATGTACCAAAGGCACATGGTAACAGCCAAGCAAAGTGACAGATAATTACCTCCTCTAGTCCTGAGAGGCTTTCCTCAGCAGCATGCAATTCAGCATCTTTCTCAGAGACAAGTTTTTGAGCTTTGTGAATCTCTGTTTCAGACTTGGTTTGCAGGGTAGACAAAGCATTCTGGGGAAAAGAGTGATAAGCAAAATATTTAAGATTTACTGATGTGAACCCTCAAGAAATGCATAGCATTTCAATCTGTTATAGTCCGACTTTATATGGTATACAGACAGGGAAGTTAAATCAAGCTCTAACAATACTCCCTTATATATGTGCAAGAACCATATAAATGCCTTACAAGGAAACATGCCTTCGAAAATAGCTAATGTACCTTTTCCTTTTCAATCTGCTCCTTCAAACAGGACAGTTCTAATTCCTTCTGGTGCTATGCACGCAAAGAGAAACAGTAAAGATTCTACACAGTTAATTTATGTAACAAAACTTTGTATACAGACAAAATCATGAGACTAGTCAGTAATGAGAGACAAAAGACATTAAAATTATATACCAGCATAAGCTTGAGATGATTAATCTCAATTTGAGTCTCTCTTTCAGCGATCTGTAACATAGAGGAACATACACTATGAGATTATATGCGAAAATTAACACTGAATTTAAACCAAATTAGAACAACAGGGCACTGAAACAACCTCAGAATTCAAAGCCTCCCGCAAATCATCACCTTTTAGAATTTGAGCTTCCCTATTATCATGACTGCAAATAAATTAAATACCAGAAGACTTAAGCCTTAGTTTATAGAGCCAAAACGAAAGGATTAAAGCAAGGCAATTATTTAAATTTACTCCAGTTGAATGGGGTGCAATATGAAATTTTATCATCCATGTCTCCCTGTTTTTCAACAGTAAGTGTAACGCCACTAAACCACTCACGATCACAAAATAGCAGAAAAAAGTATTTTAAATAATCATAGACTTTAAGCAAAAAGTAATTAGAGTTGTAGATCTAGTGCTTTAAACTGATGTACGCTATGCTAACCTCCAAGGAAGGTAATCCACTGCTACAAGAGGAGCAACCTGCTTGGCGAATGTTGTACGTCCATTCAATGCGATGGCAGTACCATAGGCATGTTCAGAGCATTCTCGACTTTTGGTCCTAGACTGAGTTGGTACTTCATTATTAGTTCCAACAACTTCCTTGCTTTCTTCATCACCACTTTCATTTAATATCCCATAAACATTATCTGCATGGCAAGCAGCATCAGATACTAAACTTCGTGTTTCAACCCCACCAAATAAATAATGGGGCAATTTTCTGAATTTAGAAAAAAGCACCAGGGACCATCTTGGAGTTTTGACTTTAGAAAACAAGCATCAGACATTATCATTCTTTCTAAGAATATGCTAGCAAATTGAGGAAGTACTAACAGCTGCATTTTGTGTTTTACATGTTCAAACCAAAAGTAAAATTCATCCTCATTACATGAAAAACAACAATGACCAATGAAACAAACTAACAAAAGAGTTTATCTACTGAGACTTACACTCAATTGCATCCAAATCTCCGTTCTGAACAAATTTTGCAACTTTTTCTTCCAAAGTTGACATGGCTAGAGATTCTTTAGGCATGAAACTACTATTATCAGAGTTATGATCTGGATTAACATTCAAACTCCCCAAATAATTTTCCTCAACTGAGTGAAAGGCTGATGGGGAAACATCTTCGACCATAGTCTCTTCCATTTCCCTTTGATCTCCTGAAGTGTGAATGGTATTTTCCTTTGTGCAATTATAGTCATTACAGTCAAAATCCTCTCCAATTAAATAATTCTCCATGCTGAAAACTTCAGTTGGCAAGGAAACATCTTGGATTGTATTCTTCCCCCTTTGATTATGACCTTTAAAATAATAGAAATAGTTTACAACAACAGCCAAAGTTTAATTAGAATGAAAGGATTCATGAAAGGTTAAAGAAATTTATATTGACCTTCAAAAATATCTTCTGAATCACCAGTTGCATCATGCTTTTGAACTACACTTTTCTCCATAATAAATCCATCAATATCTGTTTCAGGTGAGCTCGTAAGAAGCTTGTTGATAATTTTGTACCCTCTCCTTCTAACAATGTTAGCCAGATCATTCCTACATAACAGTTAGGCAACAAGTAAAACAAAGCACATCAATAAGGGCCATTTTAAAGATTGAAGAGTTTCTCTCCCCTCTCACCCATCCCTTTTTTCTCTTTTGTCTTCAGTACATAATTTGACATCACAATAAATTGCATTGAATAATAGAATAACATTAACCTAGGACCATAGGTGATTCCTTCCTTTCAATCATTAGTAGTTTAGAAAAACATATATCCCCAAAATCAGAACTTGATTTCAATGCAGGCCAAAAGATTAAACTTTTCATACAACCCACAATTTTCCTAACAATCCAAATAACCCATTTTCAAGTGAAACAAAAAATTAAACAGAAAAAGAACAAAAAGTTTGAGTTTTAACTGTTTAAATACCTTCCATGCTGAGAAAGCTCCTTCATGGAGGGAACATGACCCTCTGGAAGCCCAACCGCAGCTACAAATTCCCTTATGTCCTTACACAGTTCCTCATTACTCTTTACCTTTCTCCCACTCCTAAAATAAGAAACAAATAACAAAACCAATGAGATAAAATGACAAAAAAGTCGAACCATTAATAAAAATAAAAACATTATATATAAAGGATAAACCTGGGTCGTCTAATAGAAAAGGCCCATATTTTTAAGTTTCTTCTAGGTGTATATTCAGGGATTTTCCAGCTTGGCCATTGCTGTGGCTTTGATGAGAAGAGGGGTTTATGAGAAGAGAGGGATAAGGAAGTTGGCAAGTGAAACAAGGTTACCATTATGGGTGAAACCTTGTTGCAGCATTGAAGAATTTAGCACTACAATTTTTATATGGAGGAGTCATTGAAAGTCGGACAAAGGCAATCTTAGAGTTGGGAAAGTACAAGGTTTTTTGATACTGAGTTTGCTGAAAACAAGGTGGTGTAGTGTTGATGTCTAGAGGATTTTTAGTATACTACTATTGAGTTTTTCAACTGTCAATATTCTGATGATTGAAACGAAATCTCAGTAAGCATTATCTTAAGATTTTTTTTTTTCCCATATTTTTTGAGTTTTTTCCTCATATTTTTTAGAAAAAATAAGATTGACCAAAAATTTTATAATTAGGCCCATCCAACTCATTAGTATTTGGAAAGCCCAAAAGGAACGAATGTTGGGTCTTTTTGGCCAACAATCCAAAAACTTTAGAGCTGCTGTAATGTTTGAATATGATCGAAATCTTAAGAATAATATTGCATGGATCTTAAAATCTCCTCTTGGCCATCAACGATCAACGACTAAACGCTAAATGGATTAAACCCTCCACTCAATCTGCTTCGATCCAAATCAAAAGAATACTACATGGTGACAAGAAAACTCTATTTATGGATTTGCCATCACTCTGCTAATCTATCAGTTAAGTCGCCATGAAAGCTGATGCATGCAGTGAAGTAAGAAAGGGCAAAGAAATGTACATTAATTGTTAATACAAAATCTTTATTAAAAAGGATTTGATGTTAATCAGACCTATTAAAATTGAAACACCCCTTCGCCCTCTTTCTCAAAAGAAACCATCCCAATTGCAGTAGGGTCAGGGTGGGGCGAAGTTCCTAGTACGTACGCCTGTTTTGCCATTCATTGGTAGATAATATTTTGTCTATTACCCTGATCAAAAAGTCTTGTAAATTTATTAAATAGTTTGAAACCTACACTTTTAGCTCAAAGAATCAGTTGAACTTTGAGAGTCTGCTTTTCACAATTGCAAGGAGATAGAAACTACTAACAGAAATGGAAACCCATGACCATTTTTTTCTTCAATTGCAAGAATTTGAATGTGATAACTGAAATTATGAGTCTAATATTCTACGAACAATCTAAATGTCAGCCATGATCATTTTCTTCTAGAAAAAACATGTTCGAAAATAATTGACATTTGCAATTTCCTTATTACTGTTGTAACCCAGGTTGGAAAATCAACAGATTCTTGAACTTCGAGAAATTGTTCTTACAAAGTCATTGAATGAATTTATTAAGGAGAAAACGAAAGTTCCATCTCAAGAGACAGAGGTCAAAACTTCTTGTATGTAACGTTTCGGAAAAGAACGTAACGACAGCATAGCATCAAACACATTTTCAATAACTTAAAAGAAAGATTTTTGAAAAAATAAACCTTGACATATATAATTATATATGGACCAAAACTTTTTCCCAATAAAAAAAATTAATCTATAGATATAAAAAAAAAAATGTTATGATGTGGTCTTTTTCGTTCAAAATTCATGTGTTAGGACCACAAATTAATCAACTTTATTAGGAGTTTCTATATAAGCAGGGAAAATATGGGAATCAAACGAAGTCGGTGTTTTGTTTTAAGTGGGTAATATTTAAAGAAGATGGGGCCATATTTGAGTTATAAATCTTGGGGATAAGTCTTTCCCCAATGTTTAGCTTTTTTCCATCAGAAAAGATTGTCTTTTGAAATGAAAAATATAAATAATGCATATTGGGTCTAAAAATGCAGGTTATCTTACACTACATTACCACATGTTTCAAGTGCAATAATAAAAAATTAAAAAAAAAAAGTTTTGAAAAAACAGTTAATGCCTAATGGTTCCTTCGGTTGGTCAATGAAAAATAAAAATCATTATGCCATCGTATCATTATGGGACTTAACCTTTCGGTGAGATTGTTAAAAGCTTACTCTTCCTTTTTAATATGTTTGGGTATATATAAAGGAAAACAAGTGGTATCACCCTCCATGGTTGTTGCGCATTTACTTCTTAATTTGGTTAATTCCAAATTATTGCTTTTCCCATTGAAAATAAATTTATAAATCAATTGAAGTTTAATTTTTAAAACCCAAATTTATTATTCGTTGATTTTGTTTGTTTTTGGTAATCAACGCTAATCAAGAATAGCCAAATTATACATAATAAAAAAACAAGAGTTGAGATTCCAAACCAACTTCAATGAAGATATAGGTATCTTTAATAATTGATTTTTTTTTTAACTTCAAAGAATAAAGGATTAGTGGGAAATTAATTATTGGGTTTAGTTTAATAGTATACAATAAAATATGTAGTATTCTAGCAATAAATGTGTTACCATATTTTTTTATATGTTGCCATGAAAAAATGTTTGGCCAATGTTCAGTTCAGCTCATGAGTTCCTCAGAAAATGCCTTGTCCATTTGACTAGACCAAACATTGATAAATCAGAAAGCATAAGTTTAATAATTTGCCGATGGATACAAGGATAATAAACCCTAAACTTTTCGCTTTAAATTTTGCTTCTTTGTCATAAACCCTAAACTAGTTGAACCTGTCTGGAATAAAAATTAACCAATTCAAAAACGGATGCCAATATTCTGCAAATGACTCAGCACAAAATATATCTGACAAATAATAATGCACTGATTCCTACTGCAATTCATAATGTTTAAAAGTGACTGGATCTGAATTCTGATGGCTAATCAAGATTGTTCTAGTTAATTAGTCAAGGTCTTTCTTTTTCTTTTTTTTTTGACTTTTTAATGTTTAACAAGAACTTGGGAATTTTTTTTTTTTTATTTTACGAAGATCAAACTTGGTTAATAAGAAAACAGACTCATCTTCTTTTCAACTACATTAATTCTTGTGAATTTTGAAGAACTTTAACTACCTATACGCAGACCTTACGCAATTTAATTAATATTTTTGATGCGTTAAATCATATTGTTAAGCCATGATATTTAACAACAATTACATCAGCCACGTTCATGAAAATCCAATCGATATTTAGTATTAAATTGGTTTACAAATGGCCAATTAAACTCTATAAAGACTTTTTAAAATTGTTTGAAAATTGTAAAGTATGGCCCCAGGGATTGAAAATTTTTCGTTGCTTCTCAACTTCTTTTTTGCCCATTTTAAGTTTCCTTTCGCGGCCATAAACTTAAGTTTAGACCGGTCCAAGGCTGGGACGCGAATTAATTGAACTACAGCAAGGTTTAATTTCACTAGGCCCTACTTGTCTCTCAGATTTGTGTTTGACCCAATTGAAGGTTTTTTTTTTTTTTTAAAGAAAAATAACAGATTTTATAAACAAGGTCTTGTCTGAACAGTGATGCATAGGAAGTTAATATCTTATATTTAATTTTTATTATAAGTAAATTGTATTTAATTTTATAATATGAGTTTTATATTGATTTAGATATTTGATAATTAATTTCTTCTATATATCATTGCTCCCAGAGTAATTGAATTTTGTAAATGAAATTTCTACATAAGAATAATCTTCTCAAAGAAGAAAGTTAAAAAATATATATATAATTGAAATATTTTAGCTACATTATAAACATTTTCTTAACAAAAGGAAATATATATATATATATAAAAAAAGCTCTTGCCAACATGTTTTTTTAACATAGGAGGATTAATTAATACTATCAAGTAACTTAAATTTTTATGCAAACCTCATTCCATCTTTACCATTTGAGTTAATTCGAAATTACTTCGTAAAACAAAAACATTTATTAATATTTTATTGTAATTATATATACACCAGCACGATCATATAGAACTTTTACCAAGAAATTTACATGTAAAGACAAAATGAAAGTGACATAATGATTGGAGATGTATATACTTTATGTGTATCTCTACCAAACATAATTTTGGAATTTGGCCTCCTACATTTTTCTTTTACGTAATAAAATACAAACCGTATTTCCTGATTTTATTATCCAAATAAAACATTATATATTATTGTTGTATATATTTATAGTATGATGCTGAAATTATAGAGGTCCAATCTCATAATTAACTACCAAAAATAATAAATTAGTCTATGAATTTGAAAGGTCATATCGACATAAATATTTTATCAAAATTCATGTACTGGATGAAGAATTAATTGGAGTGTCCACATTGACAAATGACAATGGCAGCCCCAAGACTAGACCTAAGAATATATTTTTTTGAAAAAAAATCTAATATTTAATACTCCCTTCATCTCATTTTTTTTGCTATTTTGATTTTGCACAAATTTGAAAAAAATTTTAGTTGAATTTTGATTGATTATAAAGTTTTTTTTCTCAAATTAGCCATATTCCAAAATATAATAAAGGTAAGAATTTTTTTTTTTACTTTTCAAAAGTGATAATTTTTTGAGATAAATAAAACTATATAAATAAGACATTAGAGGAAGTAATAATCTATTGGGTGGTATCATGTTGAATGCAAATTGTATCTCATTACATGTAGTTTAGCGGACTTTGGATTCTTTTGAGTGAGGAAGGAGGAGACCATTTAGGCGTAGTTATTTGGTCCTGTAAGAGGGAAGGGTCTCCTTTTCGCCATGATTAATTTATGATGGAGGAAACTTCTCTCAGCTAATCAATGAACAAGACTCATAGAAAAATGGATGATTGATTTGAAATAGAAGGCCTGCCTGCTGACTTCTGTTTTTCTATCTCTCTCTATATATTAATATCTTCCTCAGTGCCCCAAACCAATTTTGAGTCTTCTTTGGGAACAAAGCTAGCTAGACAGCAGCCTACTTCACAACCATAACCTTTCACCATTAATAATTTTGAAAGAAGCTCTTGTTTTCAATACCCAAAGAGACAGAGAGAGTAAAAGATGGGAAGGGCTCCTTGCTGTGACAAGGCTAATGTGAAGAAAGGGTCCTGGTCACCTGAAGAAGATGCAAAGCTGAAAGAGTACATAGAGAAACATGGAAGTGGAGCGAACTGGATTGCTCTCCCACAAAAAGCTGGTACCAACTCTTTTTCTTTTTCCTCCTTTTTTTTTTGTCTTCCTGGTGAGTTTGAAGGAAGATGGTAACTGAAACTGTAAAAATTAAAGGGTCCTTTCTTGTTTGTGATCTTGAATGTGTTTGGTTTTTGTATTTAGGTCTTAGGAGATGTGGGAAAAGTTGCAGATTAAGATGGCTTAATTATCTCAGGCCGAATATTAAACATGGAGACTTCTCTGATGATGAAGATAGGATAATCTGCACCCTCTTTGCAAGCATTGGTAGCAGGTATTAATCACCCTTTCTTTTCCAAATAAATGTCCATTTTTGTCATATCATTTCTTTTTTTTTGCTATTGTATCTTTTCTAAGATTTTTGTTTCTTGAGAAATTAACACAAGGAAAGACTTGCTTTGTCCTTTCAAGGAAAAACTTGTAGATTCCAAGGATATGCTAGCTTTAGATCATTTTTTTTTCTCTAATTCTGTCCTTGCATGCCGTGTTTAGTTTCTCAAGTGTTGAGATAGAGTTTCAAAAGCAGCTCACTTAAATTTCCTCTAATGGAACTTTACTCACATCATGAACTATAGGTGGTCAATTATAGCGGCTCAGTTGCCAGGCAGGACTGATAATGATATCAAGAACTACTGGAACACAAAGCTGAAGAAGAAACTTTTTGGCATGGTTCCCCAATCTCAAAGAAAACCTCATAACCTTCACCATGCTAGCTCCTCATCTCTTTTTCAATCATCTTCACCTTCATCCCTATCACCATCACCTCTGTTTTCATCACCATCATCGAGATTATTCTACAATTGCAGCAACAACACCTATCACACACCAACTAGATCTTTTTCAGGCTTTGAAGTATCATATTCCTCAAGTTTTTCAAACAGCAGTGCTTCTTGTATAACAGCTGCACCAGTCCTTCAACCACTACAGGAGAGTTTATTGGGTCCTATGCAGCATTATCAGCTGCAGGATGGTCTCCAAATGTTTGGAGGTGAAGCCACTTGTAGTTCTTCTGATGGGAGTTCCGGCAACCAAATGAGTCAGAGCAAAGAATTAGAGTATGAATTTGCTGATGGCCGAGGTAGCAATGGTGCAAATAATGTTGATCAACAAATTGGCATGCACAGTTATTTCTACAATGATCGTGATGAAAACCAGGAGCTCATGGCATCAAATGGGGATGGTGTTAATGGATGGTCAGAGAAGGCATCAAGTGGATTATGGGGTGAAACACCGTTAAATTATGGGCTAGAGGAAATTAAGCAGCTAATTAGTACTAGCAGTTGTAACAGCTTTATTTTTTATGAAAACAAGGCAGAGGAAAAAGTTATGTACTATTGATCTGACTATGACTGTCTGTAAAATCTGATGGATTTGAACAGTGAGGGGTGGGAATGGGCTCAAGATTTTCAGATTTAGACCGACTTATGAGCTGAGTGGTGGATTTCTGATGGAAACAGTTTTTTTGACAGTACATGGCAAAAAAGTTTTCTTTGTGCACTTCTTTTTGGGAAATGATGTAATTTGCAAGTAGCCATGGTTTAACTGAAATATTCAGAAATAATTCATTAAATGCCGTGGAAACTAGAGAAGCTATCATCTTTTCAAGGACCAAACTTGAAAACTAAGCATACAACTATTCTAATCCAATTTTTAATTAATTTCCCATTTCTAAATTGTTTTCTTTTAAATGAATTTTCATTGATCAATTTTGAATCTAGTCAAGCCCAAGGTAAGGGGCTTTGGATCTTTGTGGATATTATCTCTCAAGGTTTAAAACTGACTTGATGTCAATCTTATTAAACAAGTCTGTCAATTTTATATATTAATAAAATTAATATATACTATTCTATGAAATGCAGGCGCATTAAGCCATAATTGATATATTACAATAAGTTAAGATGGGATGGTGTGCGTCCCATTATATTATTCTAGGTTACTGGCCAACGTTGATTATTGCATGATTTTGATGAGCTTATGAAGAGTAAAAAAATTTAATTTGGTCAATGACTGTGTGATTTGTTAATAAAATATTAGATTTTTAGTTTCATCCATAAGAATTTGATAATCTCAAATAGTAAAAAAATAAAAAATAATATTAATTTGACTTTTTTTTTTTCTAAATAGAAGCTTGTTTCAATTATATAATAACAAGGGATGAATTTATTTCATCACATTTTTCCTTTTGTAGTGAGCGAACAAATGTTGAAAATTTTGAGTTTTAATTTGGTTGACAATTAGCAGCAATGCACATGTGAGGCAGGTTTCACTTGTTGATTACCCAATTGATTAGGACCGGGTGCGGCATGGAGAGGCGAAAAGGTTGATTAGAAAATGAGAGAGAAATGATAAACAAATCCAACTAGCTCAGGGAAAATGGATATGCTAACGATGGAAAAATTCAAGGCCATATATATAATGTAAAGTAGGAGAGAATCCTCATGGGGAAGCAGTCCAAAGAGCTCCAAAATCATATGATCTCAGGAAAATGATGCCTTGGGGTTTATCAATTATATTGGCTAAATCAAAGAGAGTGAGTATTTTATTCTTCTTCCATGAGAAACAGAAAACCAAAAATATTATTGAAAAGATGAATCCATTATTGACCTTTTCACCATTTTGTTTTCTTATGCCATTGAATTAGATTTAATGGGTTTTGCCAGCTATAGCCATTGTTTATTTTAAAATAAAAAGTCCAATGGGGTTTTAAAGATATGGGGAAGACTTTCCAGGAATGTCTGTTTCTAGTGGTGTGTAAAAAAGGTCCAAAGGTGTGGCACCTAATAATCCATGAAATTTTAATCTATCTTGAGAAAATTTTAGATCCAATAAATAATTACAAGTTCTTCATTTACCTTTGATGTTTGGTAGTGATTAGTATCAAATTTCAAGCTCCTACTTAAGTCATTATACATAAATTCCCTTCACAAAGCTTAATTAAATCATCCATCTTGTAGTAAAGCTTGAAGGTAGCTGACCATGCAAACAATTATTGGATCAAGAGGATGAAAAACAAAAAGGAAAAAATATTAAATTTTAATTAGTTCATATAACTACACACATATACTTACATTTAAAAGGTGATTATCCAAATCTTAAATTCAAATTTTAACACTTATAATATTTTCCTTTATTTTCAGATTATGATTTTTTTTGTATTAAGAAAAAAAATCATCATTTTTTTAGCTAAAAAATATCCATCCTTATGATATTTTTTAGCTAAAAAATAATGTTAGTAAAGAATCTAAATATGCAAATATAAGCTCAATATCTTTTTCCATGGGCCATGAACCCCACACTCAAAAGAAGAAAAAATTTGAAGAAAGTCGAATTATAATTTGATTCTTTCATAATTTTTTAATACAATCAAGGATATTTTTAAGTTTTATTTAAATTTATTCTTTGTTTTTCAAAAGATTTTAAGATTGCACTCTCCGGAACCCTTTCATAAAAAGTTAATAATCCAAAATTTATAAGTACTATTGTCATTTAAGCAAATTTACTGGTCATAACCTAACACATCCAATCATACTTTAATTTTGGGTAAAAATCATACATTTTAATATTGTTGATACATCAGAGAGGCATTGATGTAACCTCTAGTTTCCAAATTGTCCGAATATAATAAGCATGCATATGAAGCCTTTATATATTATAATCTTTAATTTCTAGTGCTTTTCACATTTGAAGTTTGAATTTCCCAACCCTTTTAAAGTTATGAGCATAAAATTCTCAATTATAACATGAAAACAAACAGTTGAACCATTAGAGGGTGTCGACTACCGACAATTAACTAGGATTAAGGTCATTTTTTTCAACAAAAAAATTTTGAGTTCGAGTTCTGTTGATGATCATTTATTGGGATCATTTCGAATTGCAATCACTTCTTTTAGGCTGTCATGTACAATATATTTTACCCTGATTTGAGGAATTGAGCAGCTTATCTACTCTCAAATTTTTTCTTACCAAAAAAGAAAAACTAAGATTATCAAATTTCTTTCTTAGGCTGCGGTGGCAAATTAATTTTTGATCTATAGTACACATTTTGACAGGAAAATGTTAATGCCAATCCAGCCAAAAAAAAATTCAAATAAGTGATATTCCCATCATATGAATTAACATGTGAATCATATGAATGCTTCAATAAATTTCACGTTTTTCTTGATAGATTAATATAAAGTAAATCCAATTTGCGAGATAGTGATACATGGATTAACATGTGAATCATATTCAATAAATCAATGAAGTTTTATATATGAATGGTTCAACGTTGAGAAATTTAATTAGAATAATCCAAAATTTATTTGTACGAATTGTGAAAAAATACGTTTCAAAAAATCATATGAAAAACAGATTAAACCAAGTAAATGAAGACATTTTTATCGTATTATTACAAAAAAAATTTTTCCAATAAAGATAAATGGAAAATATTGTTAATTCACTTTTATGTACTTTGCTATGGTAAAATTTAATTTCAAACTGCTATTTTTTTTTAAATTAAATAGCATTTTGCAGACCAATATTTATTATGACATAACAATTTGGTCAATCATAGCTTTTTTTTTCGAAGCATAGAAGACAGAAGAGAAATCTTTAGTGTGTTCAATGCATTCAATGCGACAAAAGGTCATTTCCAGGGTTGAGAAAAAAAGAAAAATCAATGGTCCATTTAAAAGTGTAGTATTTGGTTTTATTTATTTTTCATATGAATATCAAATGTTATAACTCGATTCAATTTAATTTTTCAATTGTGAAATGAAAAATTAATTTAATCAAAATTGAATTATATTTTTATTATTTTTATATAATTTAAATTTTTATAAATAAAAATAATTAGTTTATATTTAAATCCTTTTAAATATGTTAAAATAATAATTTTTTAAAAAATATAATTCTAAAAACCAATAACCAAATCAATAAAATTTAATTCAATTTTAAATAATTTTATTTAGAATGTTTTTTAAAAATTCAAAATTTTATATGGTAATCAAAATAATCAAATCAAAACCACATACAACCTAATTATTATCGCTCATGTCGCATTCCCTTTGTTTCTTTATTCACTTTTTGGGATGAAAATAATTTTTTTTTTTGAAATTACAAGTATTAAATAAATTTTTTATATACCAATATTAAATAAATTACAATCACAATCAAATATTAAATTATATAAAAAAATTATTTCATAATCAATTAATAATTAAAATATAATTAAACTTATTCAACACTTAAAAAAAATCTCCAATAGATAGTTCGTATACTAATGCCACAGGGGCTTAAGCTATGGTTTGGGCGGAAACAGCGGCCCCTGGAAGGCCCTACTTTGGTGCCCTTTATTTCACGATATGAACGTTGAAACTTTGGACAAACAGCATTTCCCAAGAATTGATACTATAAAATTAATGATTAAAAGGTAAAATGCCTACAAAATTAGCACTTAGCAATAAAGTAAAGTAGGGAATCACGTTTACACTAGATTATGGAAATGAATACCAAGAAAAAGATGAGCTGAAATTGAAAGGTTCAATATTAAAAGTCATTTCTTTGAAAGTGTGAGTCACGGGTTCATATTAATTAACTCGACTTCACAGTTAGTCAATGGCTGGCTGCTGCTCTAGAACTGGTAAGAAAGATCATATTTGTTTGGCCGGGTGCTAAAACAGAGGAAGATCTTTGCCTTTTGGAGGTCTTCAACTTTTTTTCACAATGCAACAAAAGAGGTTGTCTTTGTCACGGTCGATACTTAAGCTTTGAATTCGTGCGATTTTGAAACTCGATTATTCATCCTTTCGACGTTTCAGATCAACTTTCTTATCACGGTTCACATCTTTGTAAGATTTTATCCGCTCTAATCCCTCTGACCTCACGGTTTTATTTTACAAAAGGTGTGAAGAAGTGGTGTGAATCTTTTTATACCTCAATGACCCTCCTATTATGTTTGATGTAGGATTCAAGGCTTTTCTTTATGTCCGTGACATTCTCCCCTACTTAACCCCATGACGCCCTCGTTACGGAGGCTGGTCATCCTGCCTACCTCCCTCGAGGCACTTGGCATGGATCGAACGGTTTAGGGTTGGCTCTGATACCACTTATCACGAGTCGAGACTTAAACTCCGAACCCGCGCGGCTTCGGGACCCGGACATTCATCCTTCCGGGCCAGATTAGCCTTCTTGCCACAGTTCATACCCTTGTAAGATTTTATCCGCTCTGACCCTCTTGACCTCACAGTTTTATCTTACAAAAGATGTCTCTAAAAAAAGGCGTCTCACAAGAAAGAAATAATGTGAATCTTTTATACTCCAGTAACCTTTTTATTATATTCAATGTAAGATTCATGACTCTTCTTTAAATCCGTGATACCTTGTCCACTTTTGGGATGAAAAGTTTCAAACAATGGGGGTATAATTAATTGCATGAGTTGATTTTCTATTCGATAAAGTTTTTAAATTTTACAAAAAATGTTAGAAAACTTACATGCAAATATTTTTTATATTTTTAATTTATCTTAAAAGACATATTTGGTAAAATAATTATATTCCACTTATAATATACAGAATTTTATTATTGTCAAAAAAAAATTTTAAGTGAACCAAATTATCTTATTTGAATTTATAGATCGATCATCCATAAAAATATAATTAATCACTGAAATAAAACGTAAACTTTAAAAGTATTCTATTCTTATCAATTTAATCAATCTGGTTAGCATATATCAATAGTTTTTTTAATTGCATACACCAATGGACTTACATTGGATTTTTTAGTTGCATATACCAATGTCAGTGTTTTATTTATTCTTCCTTTATTTCTTCTAGTATTGGGTTTAGGGTGACTGTTTCTTCAGGGTAAGTAAGGACCTTGGCAGACTTGGCTCTATTGGTTCTTTCATTAAAGAAGCATAAATAATCAGTACAAGAGTTATATTCAAGCAAAAGAAAAAAAATTACCATATTTAACTGTATATGGATGATTCCCTACATCATCCGACATTGACAATTGACATGGAAGCCTAACAAAAGACAGACAAAAATAGTAGTAACATACACCAGCTAATAGCCTGCAACTGTTTGTCACCATGTTATAGACGTAACCATTGCTTTACCTGGCTTTTGAATATTCTATGATCTGTACAGTTTACTATAAAGGCCAAAAAGGATCAAGAAGAAAATAATTTAATGGTTGCATCATATTATGAAATGAATAAAAAGGGATTTTGAGAATCTTAATAGTACTTCATTTTGATGTAATCTGATTATGTTGACCATTGCAAATTCCGCATATCTGATATGGGATATGGCATTATTCGTAGGGTATAAACAGAAAACTGAGAATAATCAATTGGATATTAACAATAAATTCCCAAACAATGATGGGGTCAGTGACTTGGAATACAACATTCAGTTTTGTACATAGGAATACAACAATTTTATGTACAGAATGCACATAGGATTTATGAATACAACAAGTGATGGTTAGAAGAAAGTGATGAATTATTTACAAAAAATCCCATTGCCAATAAACCTTCTCCACAATCCCTCCACCACTCCTTACAGCAAGGTGAAGTGTATCAGAAGCAGGGGGAACACCCCAGAGGTATGGCACGGCAACCTTCATGGTAAGCTTTTCATGTAAACCACCTTTGCTGGCCTTCTCTGCCGCAACAACCTGAACATTATCAATAGGCAAATTTCAAAATTACAACTACACGGGAAGGTCAATCCTCAAAAAGATTCACTGCACCATGATCATACCAATGCAACACACAACAGAAAGAAGTATACTGCCAAGCTTGTAAGAGAACCGTTTAAAAAGGCAGATTTGAAACAGCATTTCCGAAGTCAACCAAGAGATTGAATAATAACATATTGCTTTGGATTCACAGTATAAGAAGATACTAAAAAGGAAGATCACTGAAACCTCGTGGTGCTACTGGGAAAACTCAGCAAACACATTGTCATTGTTTGTTCAGTAATTAGATCGCTGATTAAATCCGAAAATAGGGAGTCAAAAACCACCAATTGTAAACTAATAAGTTGCTTAGGTTGCTGTGTGGGAGTCAAGGGAAAGGTCCACTCATAAAAGTTCCAACACAAACCAAAAAACTATTGTTTTAATTGGTAAAGTTTATAGGACTTTAACGGAATTTGGAGTTATCTTTATATAAGTAAACAAGGTCCCTGATCAAACAAACAAAAAGATCATTTACTCCCTGTTTCAGCCACTAGTCGACTAGTTCCGTCAAGCATTCAAGATACTAACTAAAACTTTCCTCTGGTAAATGTCAGTGCTAAACATTAACATAAACTATGCACCCTGATTAAAAAAAGGAACAGAAGGCTAAAACTGAAGATATAGTGATAAGTTCTTGAAAGTTGAGGCTGTGTGATTAAAAGATGATTTTTTAAAGTTTAATGTAATATTTTAAACTATGATTTTCAATTCAATATCTTCGTGTACGCAAAAATGCAATATAGTAATAATTAAAGAAAAGATGATGCTGGTACAATGCTGCATACCTCCCCACCATGCTCTAAAACCGTATCTTCTACAACATCACTAAGCATCTCAATGGAGCGACAAAAGCCAATGATACAAAGCCTTCTGCCCATGTCAAGTCCCTAGATTGACCAAATCACGAAAGTGTAAGTCATTTACAATTGAAACATCGAGTTTATGGCAAAATAACAGCAGCATACAAGTTCCTTACATTTGTTGCCGCAATGTCAAAAAGAGCACCTAGACATAAGCCTTGGTTGGGATCCATGTAATCACTCTCTTGAAACCGTTGAAATCTTTGAGAAGTTTTTGATTTTCCCCGTTTCTTCTGCCCAAATAACAAAATTCTTCAGCCAACTAACACCAGATTCTAAATGATGCACAACATAAAAAATAATAATAATAAATAACAGAGTCCCATATACCATCAAAGTTCGAAATTCCATTTTCATTTGGTCAATAAAGCATTGATCACTCTGAAATATTTGAACAATGAAAGGTTTATAAATGAGTAATAACAAGATACTTGCATCTGCAAAAGTTATACGCCGTGCAACCATTGAACCTCCTATTTGAATTAGTCCATCTGATGTGAACAAAGTGACTCTCTCCTCTTGAACCCATTCCACGTCTGCAAATTTGAATAAATTACAAACAATTTTAATAGTCCATCAACATACAATCACAATGAAACACTTACAAAATTTCATCTTTAACTTAAATAAATTAACCTTAACACCTACGACCCTTTAATCAGTTCAATTAAATCATCTAGTTTGTGACATAAAAGAAGAAACTTTAATCTATAAAATATATATGTTACCCCTGTTCCATTGACTGCAAATTTTCGATTTTTATGAAAAAAATGGCAAAAAAACTATATTTAACGATTTGGGTATGAAACATTTTGGTATGAATCATTTGATTTGACTATTTTAAACCAAGTCAACAAAGAAAAAAATGGAGAATTAAGGATGGTTAAAGTGAAAAACATGGGTTTTTTCTTCTTTACCGTTGTCACCAGGGGACCAAGGAAAGAAACCAAAAGAATCGTCACTAAAGAAGCTGCCGGAATCTGAAGCCTTGGAAGAGAGACGAAGGAAACGTGAGGGACGATTAGAGAATCTGAAGGAAGTTGGGAGAAAAGAATGGGTTTCTCTCCCACGAGAAAGGGAAGGAAACGAAGAGAAAGAAGAGACAGTAGATGTTTTAGCCATTAAAGAGATTTTTTTTTTTTAGAAGAGGAAACCTATGGGAATTGAAGGAACAGTTTTTATCGGAGGGGAAAAGGAAAGCGAAAGAGAAAGGAAGGAGTTTGGACGCCACATATGTTAAAATGGACAAGTGGCGTAAGGGAATGAGCTCTTTTGGTTTCTTATTAAGCTGGGAATCCGGGTTTGAAACGATTGGTCTATAACTTCTCTGTACCTTTGTGTTTCTTTGGTCGGTGAAATTTGGTTCTTTGGGGAGAAAATTTATTCACAGGATCTTTATTTATGGATTTAATAATCTTAATGGAATTTTTATGGCGTTAAATGGAAATTCAATTGGAGTATCTTTGATGTGCTTTGTGTTCCTGTGTTCCTTGGACCTTCAACATGTTTGGTGTGATAGGTGTGATAGACTAAATTTTCTCTTAACAAAGTAATAGGTTGTGCAGCATTTAAATGGATATTTTCCACCTAAGCCAATTAAAATAGTTCAAAATTTGAACAATAACAAGCGAGTTATAAGTTAATTTCAATGATACATAATGATATATTAAGACTTAATTAGTACATACCAGCTCGACCTTTGATGCCCTTAAAAAAAATGTTTTATTAATAATAATAAGATCACAACGATTATAAAAGGAGTTTGAGTTTTTTATCATTGTTAGGGTCAGAAAGATAACCCTAGATGGGTGGTTTAACACATATCTTAATTAGTAAAGTAATTCAACAATCCATCAACTACTCAATATTTTTAAAAAGCAAAAGAGCTTTTATAAGAATACTATCATGAACTATTATAATGTTTAAAATAAAGACACTTTTTTCTAGCATCTAAAATCTACTTCCCCTTGGTTCTTCTATTCGATCTTGGCCTCATGCAAAAGTGGATCATAACATCCTATGCCTGATTATAGCCCTATACAAAGTTGGTTCATGACACTTTCCCCGTTTAGTTTGTCGGCATCCTCATTGACTTGATAGCTTAAAATTCTTTAATCTTCTGTTTGAAAGCTCGTAGATCATGTTCTTTTTCCCACCTGATCTCTTTTAGTCCTAAGCCCTCCTACTTGACTAAGTACTTTCGGATCAATCTTTTAGAAATTATTTTTATCCTATTAGCTAAAACTTCTTCCACTTTATGTTCTGATGGCGATTTCATACGAATGGCGGCTCTGGTGGCTTTACTACGGCTTACATTTGATGGGCCTACATAATAAGGCTTTAAGTTACTCACATGGAACATTAGATGCACATTCATCCATTTTGGTAGGTAAATCTTGTATGAGGCATTCTTTACTTTGGAAAGAATTGTCATTAGACTTTCATATTTGTGCACCAACTTACGATCCTATTTTTGTAAGAACCTTGTTTGCTCAGGCACTAACCTGATAAACACAAAATCACCAACCTTAAAGTCCTTGTTTTTCAACCTTTATCCGTCTACTTTTTCATGTGCTTTAATGCATTCTCTAAGTACACTTGGGCAATTTTTGTGGTTTAGCTCCATTCTTTGGTAAGGTTAAAAGCTCGAGGGCTTTTTCCTCGATAAGGTTCAAGCGAGGTATGAGGTAGCTTCAATTGTTGCCCTATGACCACTTTAAAGGGGCTTTTGTTTGAACTGATACTTTTCTTGAAATTGAAGCAAAATCGAGCCACATTTAACAATGGAGGCCAATTCTTTGATTTGCTTGTATTAAGTGTCTCAGGTATTCTCTAGCAATCTATTAAACCGTTTAGTTTGGTCATCAGTTTACGGGTGATAACTGAAAAAGATATTGAGTTGAGACCCTAAAATCTTAAAAAGTTTTTTCCAAAATGACCTAATAAATCTTGAATCTCTGTCACTGATAATGCTTTATAAGATACCTTAATATTTGATCACATTCTTGAAGATTAGGCTAGTCGAGTCATTCATAATGTAATACTTTTGTGCGAGGGTGAACGTGGCATACTTTGAGAAATGATCACTCACTTTTAATATAGACCCAAATTCACCAATTCTAGGAAGGCTTACTATGAAGTTGAAGGGAGATATTTTTAAAAGGTCTAGTAGGCATGGGTAATGGTTCAAGTAAGCCTACTGGAATCTTCTTTTTAACCTTGTCTTGTTTACGAATGAAACAAGTCTTTGTGTAGTCTATCACATCTTGTCACATATGGGACCAATAGTAGCCCTTGATTTAATATGACAAAAGAGCATTGCCAACCAAAATGCCCAACCTAAAGTGTAATATGGCATTCTCGCATTAGTATCTATCTTAAGCCCCTTGCTCTTAGCAAAAACAACCATATACCTTTTATCACTAAAACCCCACTCTCTACCAAAAAATATTTATACTTCCCTTTTTCTCCCAACTTTATGATGAAATTGGCTTATGGATTTTTCTTTAAATTTTTCTCAATTAACTTACAAATATTTGTTATAACCTTACTAGCTGACATCAGGGCAATCTTCCTAAAAGCTGCACATAATGTCCCATTTACTTAACGTATATGCCATTTGGTTAGGTTTTTTAGCTTTGTGCTTGAAGCAAAAATCAAACTTAACTAAAAACTTTTACCATCTAGCCTGCTTGGCTATAAGCCTCGGTTAAGTGAGAAAATAACTAGCCTTCGTATTATCAGTCTTGACAACAAATTAGAAACTCAGAAAGTAGTGCCGTCATGCCCTTAAATAATGAATCACCGTTAAGAGCTCCTTTCTTGAGCCATATATTTCTTTTTTACTTTACTCAATGTTTGACTTTCCAAAGCGATTCGATTGGATGCCACTCTTGCAAAAGCACTCCCTTCAATAGCAAAATCTAATGCATTTGTTTGAACTTCAAAAGGCTTCCTAATGTTGGGAAGAACTAAGATATGATCTTTCATCATGGCTTTCTTTAGACCCTCAAAAGTTTCTTGCCATTTGCTTGTCCAACACTATTTATGTCTTTTTTTCAATAACTTAGTTAGAGCTATTATTCTATAAGAATACTCTTCCATAAATCTTTCTTCAAATCCATTTGAATATGGCCCTGTTTAATAATATGGCCCAAGAAATGTGTACATGTTTGTGCAAATGCACACTTCTCTCTTTTGGAACACAAGACGTAAGCACTTATGATATTCCTCCAAGGTAAAATTATAAACCACTATATCATTTAAGTAGATTACTACGAACTTGTCAAAGTAATCATAAAATACCTAGTTTATCAAAGTACAAAACGTGGCAGGGCCCTGTAATCCGCACACAATCACAAACTCCCAGCATGTTTTCTTTAAAATAGCATTGTCGCCCCAAAAAATATTTTGATGGCCTGATGAATCCCGTTTATAGTAGCTCATCTAATTATTTTTTTTAGTTCGACCAATTCTGGTGGAGCCATTTGACAAAGACCTTTAGCCAGATGTTTAACTCTTGGAAGAAGTTCGATTTCATGGTTTACCAATCATCGAGGAGATAGAATTTAGGCAATTGCTCAAGCATTTTGTTTTCAAACTCTTTCAACATCTTTTTCACACTATTGGGCACTCGTTCTAACCTTGACTCATCTTTATAAATCGGTATGGCCACGTAAGAGGGCTCTCATTTCTTCATTCCTTTCTTAAACTAAAGTGTTAATATTACTTTCTTCCTACTCTTATGGAGGATTGTGGTAGGCACCATACACTAACATTTCCTCATGAGCACTAAGCAACTGGAGACAATAATGGGGATCACCTAAGCCACTATCATAAAATTCAATCCTAAGACAACATCAAAGTCATCCGTGAAAGAAATCGTGAAGTTTATGCCTCATTTCCATGGCCCAAGCTTGGTTATCACATTCTTGAAGTTTTTACTGATCGCAAAGGCTAGCAAGTTTATCACTTTCATTTACCCATAGTTCTAGTAACCTTATGACAACACATTTTAGCCTTTTTAGATGTGATGAAAGTATCGGTTGCATACATGCTACTATGACCTTTGTTGTCTTACTATTGAGCACCACTACTACATATATGAAACCCTTCTTGGGCTCTTTCTTTATCATGCTCAGTTGAGATTGGAGGGCATTAAGAAACATTATGAAACCCATCCTCATAGGCTCATCTTTAATTTTTTCAAGTTTGGGGCATTTGGGATAATTCTTGGGAAAAGGTTATTAAAATATTAAAGGCACATTTATGCAAGCATTCAACCACCTGGTGCAATCCTTAACATAAAAAGCAAGCTAATGGTTGTCTGGGCTTGAAGTTTGATGCATTGTTTGTCTTGGTTTGAGGAAGTCTCTACCAGAGGCCTCTTATCCGCTCCTTCACTTGATAGTTTATCTAATCAAGCCATCTTTTCTCTATTCTTAAAATTGAAATTGCTGTTACCTAATGAAAGTTCTTTCACTTCGATGGACCATTATTATAATCATTAAGACGTTCGATGATAGCCATAGTAGTGGTTACATCTTGTCTTCATAATTTCGTTCTAGCCTAAGGTTTAAGGCCTTCAAGAAAATAAAATATCTTGTCTTTTTAGACATGTCCATAATATCCAACATTAGGTATAAAATCTCTTTACAAACTCCTACATCATCCCTATTTACACCAATTTTTGAAACTTCATTCAAACCATATACTCCGCAATCTAAGGAAAAAATTGATTTTTCAGCTTTTGTTTTAAATCTATCCAAGTTTTAATAGGGCACTCATCATTAACAAATTTTGAACACCATCATAATTTGGCATCCCCAACAAGATATGTTACAGTAATGGCAACCTTATCTTCATCTGAGTTGTGTACATGGCTCAAAAGTATATTTCATGTCAAACAAGAAATTTTCAAACTCTTTGACGTCTCTTACTCTCTTGAAGCATCAAGGTTTTAGCACTTTAGCCTTTTTCCCTTTTTTTATAGAGCTAAAATCAAATCTGGTTATAGTCAACTGTAGAATGCTAACTTAAGCCTTGAACTCCTCAAATTCTTTTTAGATGATGCTTATAAAGTCTCTTGTCTTATCAGTTAAACCATTCAGAATATCAAATAGCTCCCGTTAGACTGCCTCGACTCTCTCAATCGATCATGAATTACCACATGAGCTTTTAAGGTGACCTTAAGTTTTTCAATCCTTTGGCGATCCTCCAATCCACCACCTAATGTAACCATATTCACTTTAATTCTAGCA